CGCTGCTACACTTAGTAAGCTATCAGAAGAGTGTTTACCAACGACAAACTCGTTGGGTTTAAACTTCTGGCTGGCCACGTCTTAGGGTCGTCACTGCCCCACTAGGGGGGGAGTGATCTGTAGCGGTAAATAAATCCCCCCAAAAATAGCTCTAAGTTTTCGACATTGGATGCTGACCATATGTTGTAGTGGACTCATCTAACTGAGGGCGCTCGGTCAGGCATCCGCACCAGATCACGTGTAGTAACGCCGTGCTCAACATCTACCGCAATCGCTAGACAGATTAGATCAGAGAATTCGGATATATTGGTCATCGCCAAATATACTCTTCCGATCTCCTCGACTCTGTCTTTTGATTTCTCTGGGCGGGAACGAAATATATTAGAAGGTGTTACTTGTAGAAGCGTTGTCAAACACTGAATACCTGTGACATCATCAGTCTGTTTTGTTATACAAGCTCACTTAAACAAGCAAAAGTCAACGTTTTCCTGATCTTAGATCCTAATGACTAAATCAAAGACTATGAGGATACCATAAAGTCCCGGGTAAAACATTTTATTCAAACGTTTCAACCGTATCGTACAACTTAAATCGACAGTAGTTTTATATGCAACTCGATAGGAGTCTCATAAGTAAGTCTAAACAATAGATTGGTATGTCATGAACTACACACCTTCAGGAAGAGCTACTCCTCTATAACCAATCTGCTGACTGGAGTGGACAGATGGGAAACCACTCTTGATTGCGAGTAGAAGGTAGATGTGATATCCATTGGTTTCTAAAAAGCAAGCTTATTGTTATGTAACAAGTCACATTAATAGACTGGTTAACGTCACATTAAAATGATAAATTTTTTAAGGTTGTGGTTAACTTAACTTCTCCTTAGGCCATAGAATGTTTTGGTGAAGTTCTAAGAGTTCACCTCTTTTCTTTTATTAAGTTATATAAGTGATGTTTCTCGGTAAGTATTATCTGAGTTATTAGTTTTCACTGATGTTAAAAATTGGAGAGAAATTTGCATTCACAGTGATCTTATTCTGCATTAAAGTTGGTGAACAACAATAGATTCAACACTTCAAGGTGCGAAGTAGTCGATTCGAAACACACCTTATGAGACGCAAAACATGCATACAACTTAGATAGGTCCCCTCTTGAAGGGCTGCAATTAAACGCAACTCAATTTCGTAAATGTGCCCTTCAGCTTAGCAACCAATCAGAATGAGGCGGGAATTATTACATCTGCCATCTTTGTAAGCAATGGCGGTCGGCTTTCTTCGTTCTGTGTTTTTTCCGCTATTTCTTTTGTGTAGTTACGGAATTTGATGTTTCATTGTGCTAGAATTCAGAAGTTAGTGTAATACTCTGAACGTTGGATCAAAGTTTTTCCTGATTTTGCATTGTCCCAAGTTGAAAAGGCCTAGGAGTCGTGGTCCCCTAAGATCTAAAGTCTTACACCAACTTGACAAAAATGGAAGCATAATGTCTCCTCAGTCACTCTGAAAGGATAAGAGTACACTGCAACGTCTCCGAAGGCGAGCCACGAAACCAGGACTCAAATCTAAGTGGTTTGAAAAGCTCATCAAATCAGTGGAATTTTACCCACTAGAGTAAGGACGTCAGAGAGTTAACTTTCTAATGACATATAGCATCCTAAACACCTTTAGATATCCCGTTAAATACTCCGGATCAGTCCCAACGTAAATCTCAGGGGCAATACCCAAAACATTAGAGGCATTACATAACACAGTGGATTGTACGTTCACTTTCTACTCTTTGGAAGTGGTCAACTCCTGGGACTCGCTGACGTCTGAAATGATCCGAGTGAATCCCCTGAAGTCCTCCAAGATGGAACGTGACATGTTCTTGCGGACTCAGAACAGTACGTCATTGTAATTAACTAACATTTCTCTTTAACTGGTCTCTGAAAATACCATCATTCCACTATTTAATCTGGTAACTTGCCATGGAGTTTTAACAGACGTTTCGACTGTAAAAAGCAAATTAAATCAGCACAATTACTTATTTCTAAAGATTTCAGCAAATACCACGATGACACTAAAAATCAACAGTAACACTAAGGAGTGACTTGTAATGCATGACGTAAAATGTACTTAGGTTCCCACCTGGAAAAATCGGTGATTTGTTGCTAATGTATACGGAAGATCATTAAATAAAAGCTTCTTCGATTCCCTCCACAACCATATTATCATTGTAACTAAACGAACCCGCAAGTAGCTCACAAACCGACCAGAATTAGTGAAGTCGAGTGAAGCCGAAGACCTGGAACCTTACCGAGACAACGAAAAGAAGGGATCGAGAAGAAATCAATTGGTTTACATGAGATCCTTACTAAGATATTGGATATAGGAATTATTTGCTAACTTCTGATATCACACCTGCGTTACACCACATTTCTGAAGCTAACAAATAATATATTGAGCTAGTGAGTGATAGAATTGTATTCAGATTGGGATTACCAATTGTAGCGTGGCGTCGAGTCGAGATTAACTGTGAACACCGCTACCAAGAAACACTTGCCAAATAGATCAGAAGGCGTAAGAAGCTCGTTCCAAATGACTCCATAAAATCCCCGAGAAGCCGAATACCAGAAGGCAATTAATGGACCAAGTCGAGGTTTATTAGCTGGCGATCTCGTGGCATCGAAAGGATACCGAGATCGTGCCAGGATACAAGCTTGGTTACAGAACGTAACCGAATTCGCGCGAAGTTACAATCGAAGTGTAAGTAAAAGAATGGAAGCACAAAATAGCTGTCATTAGCACAGTCAAACAAAAGCACGTTAAAACAAGCACTGGTACAGTTGGTTATAATAATAATTGTTTTTATTAAACCAGTCGTGTTCTCGTGATAAATGTGAGTCACTACAAGAGCCCCTCGCTAGAAAGGGTTTACACTTTCGATAAAAAGCGGTTTGAATCGTGGGACTGATCGGCTGACGAGCGATTGTAGGACGGAAGAATTGGCGAACAGGAAAGCGATCGTTGATCGTCGAGTTGCCAACGAAGGTCGTTTTCGGAAAACGGTACCAGGAGCGATGTGCTATATTTGTTGCTTGAGTTGGCATGCTACACGAGAGTGGTTTGTATCCAGAATCTGAAGAGGGCGTTCGTACGGGTCCGGACCATAAACGCTGCAGACGAAGGACGAAACCACGTTGAGCCAAAAGACCAGAAGCGACCGTAACGACCAAGTTCGAGACCAAGCTTGTGCCAAGCATTCGAAACCAATATATCGACTGAGTGCGTTGACAAGAGCATGGGTGATCAGGCCAGCTTTCGCCAACGTTGACTGAAGTCGACGGAACCGAGCGGAGGTGGTCGAAGGCGTGGGCTCAGGAAACAAAAAGAAAATCAAAAAAGAAGAAGAGTGTAGCATACATGTAGTATAGGAATAACCCTACACCGTATCGGTTGTTGACTGTGCGACTATTCGCGGAAGCGTACGGGTAACCGTACTCGGCGACCGGAACGTGAGACGGCAGTCTCGTTCGTATTTCGTGAGCCTGCAATCTCATCCGAGGTCAGAGGCGGCGTGGTCTGCTGATCTGGACGTGAGACTGTCGTCTCGTCCGTAGACGGTGCAGATGACGCGTGCTGTTGACCGGGACGTGAGAGTGAGGTCTCAGTTGTATCTAGCGTGGGACCTGAAGATGGTTTGAGGATCCCGCTAGTAGGTTTGGTAGGTCTAGCATTGAATCTCAGGTTATCAGATAGGGCACTGTCATCGACGTGTGCTGGTTTGAGACGATCAATGCTGACGATCTCGACGCGTCCATATCGATCAACCTTGAAGGTCTTTTCGTGACGAGCGATCACGTGAAAAGGGCCTTCGTAAGGTTGTTGCCAAGGTTTGCGTACCGAATCTACTCGTATGAAAACATGTGAACAGGTAGATAACTCTCGAGGGAGAGCGACCTGTCGATGTTGTATTCGAGTTGACACCAGAGACAGCGTTCGCATAAATGCAGACAGTCGATGGACGTAGTCTGATTTACCGAAATTGGGTCTGCTCCATGGTGTGAAGAATTCTCCGGGCAGACGCAATGTCATGCCGTATACAAGTTCAGTGGCGGAACATTGGATATCTGCCTTTAAGCTCGTTCTCACCCCTAAAAGAACGAGCGGTAAGGTTTCGTGCCAGTTGCCGTTTTCGTGTGCTCGTAGAGCACTTTTAAGTTGGCAGTGAAACAGTTCAACTGAACCATTTGGTGCTGGGTGGTAGACGGATATGCTTATGCGTATGCATTCCGTACCAAGCAGCCGGGTCAGCGAGGAGAATCGTTAATAGGGTAACATTTCTCGAATAAAGCGTGGAATTCATCATCACGCGAATAAAAAATGACAAGGATTCGGTACACATACGTGTGAGTCTATTATATTAATACTATTCTTATCGTTATCCGTCATGTCGCGTATATTATATATTAAAAATTAATATGAAAATATACGACAGACGTGGATAGATAAATCATAGACTCACCGAATTGGCTTCTTTGGAAGATTTGACCAGAAGCTGAGGCGTGTTCCAAAATACGGGTCACCAATTGTATTCGGATTGGGATTACCAATTGTAGCGTGGCGTCGAGTTGAGATTAACTGTCAACACCGCTACCAAGAAACACGTGCCAAGCAGATCAGAAGGCGTAAGAAGCTCGTTCCAAATGACTCCATAAAATCCCCGAGAAGCCGAATACCAGAAGGCAATTAATGGACCAAGTCGAGGTTTATTAGCTGGCGATCTCGTGGTATCGAAAGGATACCGTGATCGTGTGTGTATATGAATGGATGCACAAAATAGCTGTCATTAGCACAGTCAAACAAATGCACGTTAAAACAAACACTGGTACAGTTGGTTATAATAATAATTGTTTTTATTAAACCAGTCGTGTTCTCGTGATAAATGTGAGTCACTACAGATGTGGTAACAAGGATGTCTGTAATAAATTGTAGATTTCTCACCATGCATCCTTTCACATGTTTCTGTCTTCTTTTAGATCCGTCATTATGTCATACGTGGAGGCACTATTGTAGCATACTGGAAAGTATTAAAATATATTATATTTGAAGATGCGGGCATTTCAACAGCAGGGTCAGTCACATGAAGTAAGTTTGCATAAAATTAGCTGTAGGGAATTCGGCAAATTACTTGGAGTTGCGCCAGAAGCATGTAGTAACATAAGATAGTAATGTATCTACTAATTATTAGGCGATATATTCGTGTTTTAGCTGTTTCATGATAAATGGATGAATAAAATGGACTATTGTCAAATCTCTAAAACATTGTTAAACACAGTATTTTTCTTACATAAATGTGTGTTGCTAAAATTTCAAACTGTGTAGTGGAGTCTGTTATTATGCACCATTAGTAATTATTGAACATGATCAGTATACTATGGCCTCAACGTGTATTTTGCTAGATTTAGCTTTCAAACTATTCAAATCCCATCTTTCTATCTTATGTATCTTTCCACTTACACCCATTTCAGTTTTTGCTACCAATGATATCGATTTTTGCCTGTATTTTAGCCTCTGTATTGAAACCGTCAGCCTGTTTTACTTTAGCAAGTGTTAGACTCAGTCATGTGAGTAGAGCTTTGTCTTAGTGTTCAGAACACTCGATTTTTAACAATGTATCATAAATCCGACCATCATTCTATCTCGTTACGAGAAACGTCTGTTAATTTAACCGTCGCATAAAAGATACGACTGAAAGCCGAATAAAAACATGTAGGTACTATTCCAATTAATAGAATGAAGTGATAACAGCTTACCACAAAACGACTAAACTACACTTTAAATAATCCTGAAATCATTTTTTTATACTTTTGATAATGTTTCATCCTAATGAAACCTCAAGTTGTATACAATGACTTTTTTTTAACCAGGGAAAACATATCTGTCCATTTTACCTAAAGAATCGATGCATATATGGCGATCGATGCATTAATTCACATTGTTTACCAGAAAACAAGTCGTTCCAGACTTCAAAGTGAGTACCCTTATGTTTTACAGAATTTGTTTGCTCACGATTCCTATGCAAGATCTGAATCTGCCACTTTTTTAAGAGGAAAATCGTGTTAACTCGTATAAACTAAAATTTGTCTCTACATCTTTACCTGTTGTATTTATTTCTACGCAATCAACTTTTTATCTACCGACTTACCTATGGGCTAACTGTAGCATATCAGGTCACTGAAATTCTGGATAGTATTAATAACCTTAAGTACTATTGGTTTGCATGTACTGATTCAGTCAACTCACTCAAATATGAGTTTATATATGTACCATTCTACCCTTGCTTTCACTATTATGTGGCTCATCATAGAGATTGTAATGTACTTTGCTTAGCTTAGATTATATCTTCACTGGATTAGGTGTTTGGCGTGTGAAAAAAGATAATCAAGGGTATATCGACAACATAGTATCTGTGTTATAATCCTGTTTCTTCTTACGGTTAATGACCCAGCTATTCCTATTGCTTAGTATTCTCGGACACCGATTCACTCGACAAGTTCCCAAATCAGAACACGATTGAACAGGAAAAAGATTATATTCCAAATAGCAAGTCAGAAGCCAGTAGGAAGCACAATAGAGGAAAACGTCGGTATATTTATAGTTTTTACATAAGATTCCAGAATATTCTCCGACTATCGACTAGTGCTGATTGGATAAGAATCAGCCAATCAGCGTGCACCAAAGCAATCATGCATTGAGCATGCTTTAATCTAGTCTATGTCCCGCTAACAATCTGAAATAAATGTGGTGGGGCTATAATTTACGGGAGTCTTTCGGGCGACCCTTATGTGACCTTCAGACTCCACCTACTTGATAGGGCTGAGTGAGTTATAAATTAGTGTGAGGAATTGACACTAAGGTTTGCAGTTGGACATTGGAGTTGGGAATTACGGTTGTGGTTTCCACAACGAACTGATATCAGCCATAATCTTAAAGCGCTATTTAGGGTTGGGGATAAACCCCACATTGTCAAGTTATCTAAGTGTATTGTAGTCAGTTGTAGATGTTTTGTAATAATCTTTATCATATAATTAATCGAAGGCATATCGTTTGCTGTCTTGTAATTTTTCTTCCTACACTCGATACGTCCGTGGTATAATGGAGTGGTATTTTCGTTGTAGAACACTTTACTTCATGTAAGCCAGCGAAAGCGACAGATAACGAAACACACGCTCCATCATGGATTAAAATATTGTATATAATAATTCCCGCTTCATTGTAACTGGCAGCCTGGTACAAGTGTGAAATTAAGGACGAGAGTAGAGTTTACCCTCACCCGTATGTAACTGTTTGGATGAATGAATTTTGCGCCAAAATGCAAGACCCACTGTCCTAAATCTGATTGGTTCGTCCACAAAATAATCTCGCCTGTAAAAATAAGAACTCTAACAGTAGCGGAGTTTTATAGAAGCAACGAAGAAATGTAGCGTAAAACTAAAAGGAATACGAAGAATCAACACTGACAGATTTGGAGCCATATTGCTTTAAATCATTCACCATGTATATGAGTCATTTTGCAGATTTAAATAAGGTTTTTGATTTCTACATACCCAAAATTAAGTCAATAATCTCATAAGCGTACTTAATAACGTGTTTGACTGCTCAGTTAAACCTTGGGGATAAGATTCGTTTCAAGGACCTTTGGTTATACTATCATAATAAAACCAGTAGATATACTTAGGGTCTCAGTCTATAACATGTCACCATACTTCAGCTCAGTAGACCTAAAGATCGTGGATGCGCACGGCCTTCCAGTGCTTCCAGGTTTCCAAAGGTGGTGGTCCAACATCAATCGGTTCATGATCTCAATCAAAGACCTAAAGCATGTTTGCCAGGCCCGTAAAGCTCAAATCACTTGAAATTTTCACACTCTGTATCCTGTCTCATTCTTACAAGTCGCAATTGAACTTCTATAGATATAACGACTGGAAATGTAAATTCTTTAATTCATAAATCTCCATCGTTGCACATGGTGCTTTGTTGTTTTTTGTCTGCTCACGTATTTTGGCCCATTTAGTGGTGGATGTTTAATACAGATGAATTCTATTAAGTGATATTTTGTACGGTTTATGTACAATCCATGATATAATATAAAATGTGCTGGGCAAATAATATACATTTCATTGCTTTAAACATTTATTTTCTTGTTGTAGAGCTTTAATTAAACATAAAGCCCTCTTTTTAACTTTAGATCTATTCCTTGTAAATTTTATCTACAAGGTTCTTGTCACAATGGAATCAAATGTACATTTTCACACAATATAAATGGTAGTTGTGGTAACAGATAAATTTGGTTTATATTTCATGTGTTATGATATTTTCAATTCTAGTGAGCTTTTAAACTAATCCATACCTAAAAAACTATGTATTTCTTTTAGGTAATGGTTAATCCTTGAGTGGTATGAAAACATCAAATAATAAGACTGAATATCATCAGGTGAAATACTGAAATATGAAAGACAATTTTTTCAGTATGAGGTTATGAAAATTGTGGAATTTTATTGATATCACGAAATAATCTGAACGAAGTTAGATTTGTGCACCAATAGATTCCGGTTCAATGGTCTGAATAAGCTAAGTGTTCGCGCAAAACTAATAGTCCTGGGTTCGGTCCCCACTGGCATGGTCGTGGATGTCTGCTACATAGGAGTCCCATACTAGGGCGAAACGGTCATCCAGTGCATCCACGTTTCCAATGGTTGTCTAACATATATCGGCTCGTAAGCTTTTATTGTTGAATTTTGTTCGGGTTGAGCCCATAACGTTCTGTCCATCTGTTGGTTTAGATTTCGTTAGCTAGTGTTTCCTAAAACTAAGGGGTTCGTAATATAGTGCAATCACTTAGTCTGTAAGGTTAAATGTTTCATTAGCATTTCTTCACTCTCAAATGCTGTTTAAGAAATGCCACGTGACATATAGTGTTAGTCATCATCGAAGGATGGCTTAATGCGCAGCTATCAGCTTTCCATTACATAATGATTGTAAAATAATAGCTCCACAGTGGATGTCAGCGAGGTAGCCCAAATATATGACTGCATATCTATTGATCGAGACGCAGATGAGTCCACCCTTAAATCTTCAGTTTAGTATTATTTCCTGTTTTGGCATTTAAACAAACATCAGTAAGATGTAGTTTAGTTTCCTCGTAATTGTTGTTTCATCGATTGGTAATTGATTATACCTCTGAAACCTTGCGTATTCTTTTAGGTGATTTTAGTTGAAATAACATTGAACTTTTCATTTATTTAGCCAATTCATCTCATACCTATCGCAGAGATTTGAAGGAAGCCATTGACTCAAAATATTCAAACAGTCAGTCAAATAATCTCACCAGATACCTAACTAACATTGATACTAATATTGTCAGTAAAACCAATAATAAACCAATAACAGGTTTTTCATTCCGTCAGACTGAAAAATTAATCAAAATGCAGTCATCTCGATATCGTGAATGGGGATATGAAGCTTCGGAAATTTATAGCTCCTATGACCAGCTGAGTGAAAAAGAGCTATCTATATATCGTTCAGCTGGGAATTTTGTTCCTGGTACAATTCCTTTATCTTCACCGTCAGAAAATCTATGTACATTTTCTTAAAAATGAACTGTTTTATTCTTGTATCATGTGTCTAAAATAATTCTGTACCAATTCATCTACTTTTGATTCTAAACTATGGCCCAAGATTTTCGTGTACCAGGGCTTTCACATAATCTACACATCCATAACGTATTTCGAAATCCGATCTAAATAAGGATAAGCTATGATTTGATAACAAATGATCGAGTATGGCCTATTCCAACAAGTGTAGACTACCCGACGAGTCCGCATGATTGTCGTAGCCAGTAGTTAGAGACTTTAAATGAGATGACTCAAAATCGTTTGTAATGGCGCAGGTTCATCCATTCTTTGTTTTGCTCTATATTCTGAGCTTATAAATTTCACATAACCTTTTTATATTTTCATTTCACTAATGTATATTTCCTTGAATCGTATCTTCGATACCTAATCTTTTTTATTACCGTTAATACTACAGCTATCCCTATTTGAACGAAAAAAAACATTCGCATGAAATTTATTACAATTTGTTCTTATAAAAATGCATTTTATCATTACACTAGTGTGAATACTCTGAAGCACATGCAAGCAATTTCAAAGTATCTAGCCTCTAATTTTATTCAAAATTTATCCATCAACTTTCGGCGTGATCGGTAGCTCAAATTAGTGTACACTTCTGTGAATTCTCTTTTTCGTATTGAATGGTTGTGAACAACTGGTAGGAAGACGCGAGTTTAAGTTTTTTTTAGTTGGAACCAATCAACAAAACATAATTAAAATCACCAATAAACTGATGTCAAGAATGCAGCAACCCCTGCATTAGTAGGCCTCGACATACAAAAGGGAAAAAGTAAGATCTGATAAGTCTTCTGATTGAACGCTAAATTCAGTACCTAAGCTCCCCTAGTAACCTCTTGGCTAAATCTACACAGCAACTTCAAGGTTCGTTCATGTATAGAAAATCTAGGGTTTTTATAGTATTTTTGATGGCCTTGGGTTTCCAGAAAACTCCAGAATGCTATTAAACTTAGTAGCAGTATAGGAAGCTATCCAATCAGAAACTCGGTATGCGACTTTTTACTTTCTAGATGTTTCTGGTAAAACTTCCGTTGAATGTTGATTGGATAAAATGTTAATAATAATGGATTGATCTTAGTGAAACTACCATAGAAAACCTAAAACACTGGAATACCAATTCGTCCTGCTATGGGACTCCTCAGCAGTTCATATGCACGACCCGCACGCGAGAATCGAACTCTTGACCTTCTGTCTCGCGCGAGATTGCTTAACCTCTAGCCCACTGAGCCGTCTAGAGATCAAGTTTATACATAACTAGGACACTGGTAGGAAAAATATGAATAACACCTTTATAATCGATTATCAATTATTTAGGGACTATAATGGATGAAGTTCCAGTTAATTTGTAAAATAAAAGCTCATAATTAGGATAATATAAAAATACCATAAACAGGCGTATGTAAATAAGTAAAAACGCCATAAGCCAATTATCTGATAAATAAAGATTAAGAATATATATTCACTGATTCATTAGAGAAGTTCTACATTTTTATTTACCCAATTTTAACAGGTTGGAGATACAAAAATTTTCCAGTTGTCCAATGGCTTTAAGAGTTTTTCCAATAAGAAAATATATTTATAAATTGTTATCGCTTAGCATAATGACTTCCTTGTCACTTGATTGATGGAAATTCAACCAACACTTAAGGCTGAACCACATGATGTCTGTTACAATGAATTGACCAATTAGTATAAACATGTAAGTCTGTCACAAGTGGAGAGCTGAATAACTAAGTGGTAAGATCTTTGACTGTGACACTGGATGCTGATACAAGCTCGGATTACATGAAAATATCAGAAATAAGGAATAAACAATATGACACTAGCTATGTCTATGAGATCGATTAATGTGGATGTTGATAAGTTAACCAAGTACAAACAATGCGTCTGTGCATACATGCCAACTTAAGGTCAAATTATAAACAAAATACGCTGTTAGAGGAAGTCAACTCTTCACCTACTCAAGGTGTCGGGCCAAACAGCGTTATCTGTGTCAGAAGGATTATTATATATGTACCTACGATTTTTGTGAATTGCAATTCCGTTTGTTGATTGAAAGTTCCTTCTTGTTTCAGTCTTCTACTTTGCATAGTAGATTTTGCACACCGTTGGATATGTACGTCGTAATGGAGTCGGACAGAAGAATGTAACAGATATAAATATAAGATGACAGGTTTCGTAACTAAATTTAAGGTAATAGCAACTAGTTACCTTTAATGAAAATTTGAAATTCTTCAGGTTTCACCTCTTTTATGTGCATCGCAATTTTTAAGGTTAACAGTACAGTGAATGTAAACTTGTCTACTTCATAAAATCCTCTTGCTGTATAACGGTACACTTCAAATGTTAAGTAATCAATGATATTTGCTATACGTTTTTGCATTTGTGGTGATTTCTGTGATCTAGCCATGGATATATCGAATAAACCAAGAAATTGACGTAATGATGTTTGGTACATTACATTAACCATACTCATTTCAACAATTAAAAAGTATAATAATGAACCACGTGACGCTACAGGACGATATTCTTCACGTGCTGCATTAATTTTCACTTCGGTATCAACTGCTACGTTTAACTTTTCTCTCACTTCATTCGATGTCATTTTAGTTACATTCAGCATTTCAATTAATGATTCATCTTCAACTAAACTACCTTCAGTGGTTGTTAAACGATATAACAGATTATCTTCTAATTCTTTCATTTTACGACGATTTGTCGCCACATCTTCAAGGAGTTTAGTTCTTTCCGTCTCTAGTTCCTTGAGAAATGAGAAAACAATATAGAAAACAAACATAAACGTTTAGTACCAAGATTTTAATTGATAGAGTTTTATATCTCCGTAGCTGACTGATTAGTTTATTAACTTAAAAATTGTCCTTATTAAAAACTAGATAAAAAGTTGTTTGTCATGAGATTGACGTTCGTTGAATTCAATGACGAGTGAAGTGATGAATAAAAATATGAGATGAGGTAGAAGTAACCTTAACCAAAACCTCCAAAATTGAGCAAAATATAAATTGGACTTTTCTCAAAGTTCAGGAAAGTTTCAAGCTGAATTAATAAATCGCAAATTAAGAAGTGATAATAATGTCAAAATCACGTTTAGTATTTAGGATTAAAACCAGAATATAAAGCTTGGGATTTATACGAAGAGTTTAGGATTCAAGGTTAGAGTTTGGATTTAGATACGCATACAGACTAGGCATAAAGTCTAGTTCCAATCCCAAACCCTTGTCCTAAATCCTGGAATATAATCCAAACTGTAATTCATTAACCTAAAATTCTAATGTTATCTTTAATTCAAACTTTGAATCCTAAACTTTAAATCCTAATCCAAACTTTCAGTTCTAGTACTACACAGGGAAGGGAACCGATCTCACTTTTATGGTTCAGCTTTACTTCAGTGGTCAACGCCTTAAAATATAGTGTTCTTGATAGTAATAATCAAGTCAATAATAATAACGACAATGACAATAGTTAATAATAACAACAAAATATGGCCTACTTTTTTCTCTGTTAATATTACCAAACCAAGAAGTTGGTCTTCAAGGCCACGTATTGTAACAGTGAAATCAATGATTGATGTTTTAGCATAAATTTCTGGTGTATATGATGGGTTTGGTAATTTTGTTGTAATATATAGACGAAATCCACTCATTATATCACATTCTTTATCACCAATTTTCACTTTATATGTTGAACCAGATTTAATGAAATTCTTTTCTAAAACGTTATCTAAAGCAGGATCGAGATCTTCACCAACATCTTCTATGAGTAATGGACGTCCAAGTGATAGTGAATCTTCCAAGTGTGTTCGAAAATATTTGTGATTCAATGATGTTATCTATGTGAAAATAAGATACAGTAAATAATGTTTGAATTCGATCATACCAAAATGTCTTTAAGTATGCATGTTTCGTTCCAAGGGGTTCGTGTAGATGGTTGAATTTCATAATTTACATCATAAAACGACATTAGACAACCATTAAGGGACAGAGAGCATTTGACAGTTATTTAATCATAATAAGGACTCGGTAGTGTTTCACGACTATCCCATCTGGGATCGAAACTCCGTACTTCTCAATACGTTTATTAACATGAAATGGGCATAAATTTAAAAGGTGAAGCTAGGAAAATTTTGTTGCATAAGCCTACCAGTGGTCGGTTTAAAACGAACGTTATTCTGTAGAATTTTCTGAACAAAGTTAACAATAATAATAATAGTCATTCAACAGATTACTTGTTCATTATAAAGTTCTAACCAATATCAATAGTCTGCCAGTTATTGATTAAAACTTAATTTTACGTTTTCATTCTTTTATCATCACTGCCGCTTCATTTAGTATGTTAATTTCGCTTTAATTATCTAAGTTGATTATGTGCTTCATCGTTTACCATATAAGTTGAATCTAACCGCACAATTCAACTTTACTAAAACTGGTAACTAAAAATACTATCGAGGCAATGCACTCAAAATGAGGATTTACTAATCAAAACTGATCAAATGGAGTTCTTAATATCAACAACTAAAATTTGTGTTTAAATATATTTTATTCAGATTAGTTGTGCTAGCTAAACCTTGGGTTTATACTTACTTCTTACTTACTTACTTCCGCCTGTTACTCCCAATGGAGCATAGGCCGCTGACCAGCATTCTCCAACCCACTCTGTCCTGGGCCTTCTTTTCTAGTTCCATCCAATTCTTGTTGGTTTTTCGCATGTCTATCTCCATTTCTCGGTGTAATGTATTCTTTGGTCTTCCTGTTTCCCTTTGGCCTTCAGAATTCCATGTGAGGGCTTGTCTTGTGACGCAGTTCGGTGCTTTCCTCAATGTGTGTCCTATCCACTTCCAGCGCTTCTTCCTGATTTCTTCCTCCACTGGGATCTGGTTTGTTCTCTCCCACAGTAGGTTGTTGCTAATAGTGTCCGACCAATGGATCTGAAGTATTTTGCGTAGACAATTGTTAATAAACACCTGTATTTTCTGGATGATGGCTTTCGTAGTTCTCCAGGTTTCTGCCCCATACAGTAGAACTGTCTTGACATTTGTATTGAAAATCCTGACCTTGGTATTGGTTGACAGTTGCTTTGAGTTCCAGATGTTCCTCAGTTGTAAATATGCTGCTCTTGCTTTGCCGATCCGCGCCTTCACATCTGCATCCGATCCACCCTGTTCATCAATGATGCTGCCCAAATACGTAAAGGTTTTTACATCTTCCAAATCTTCTCCGTCGATTGTGATTGGATTGGTGCAATCTGTGTTGTATCGGAGAATCCTGCTTTTCCCTTTGTGTATGTTGAGACCTACTGCTGCTGAGGCTGCTGCCACACTGTTTGTCTTCTTCTGCATCTGTTGTTGCGTTTGGGATAGAAGGGCCAGATCGTCTGCGAAGTCTAGATCATCCAACTGCATCTTAGATGTCCATTGTATCCCGCGTTTCCTTTCAGACGTTGACGTCTTCATGATCCAGTCGATCCTCCATGCACAATTTTGCAGTGTAATCCATCATATGAGTTCTGTATGATATTAACTATCTTCTGAGGCACGCCGTAGTGTCGAAGAAGTTTCCATAGTGTTGTTCTGTCCACGCTGTCAAATGCCTTTTCGTAGTCAATGAAGTTAATGTAGAGTGATGAATTCCATTCAATTGATTGTTCCACAATGATCCGTAGAGTTGCGATTTGGTCTGTACACGATCTATCCTTACGGAATCCTGCCTGTTGGTCACGAAGTTGGGCGTCTACGCAGTCCTTCATCCTGTTTAACAATACCCTGTTGAAGACCTTTCCCGGTATTGAGAGAAGAGTGATGCCCCTGTAGTTATCACAATTGCTGAGATCGCCTTTCTTCGGTATTTTGATCAGAAGTCCTTCTTTCCAGTCTGTTGGTACTTGTTCCTCATCCCAAATCTTATTGAAGAGAATGTGGAGTATCCTTGCAGCTGCCGCTACGTCTGCCTTTAGTGCCTCTGCTGGGATGTTGTCCGGTCCTGCTGCTTTGCCACTCTTGATTTGTCTGATGGCCATGCTGATTTCTTCAATTGTTGGTGGGCCAACATTGATTGGGAGGTCCGTGGGTGCTGCTTCGATGTTGGGTGGGTTCAGTGGAGCTGGTCGATTCAAGAGTTCTTTGAAGTGTTCTACCCACCTGTTTTGTTGCTCTTCAATGTTGGTGATTACCTCGCCTTCCTTGCTTTTCACTGGTCGTTCTGGTTTGCGGCGATTTCCAGAGAGTTTCTTTGTCGTGTCATACAATTGTCTCATGTTTCCTTCTCTTGCAGCCTTTTCCGCCGTCGTTGCTAAATCTTCCACATATTTACGTTTTTCGGTTCTGATGCTCCTCTTCACTTGTTTGTTTATTTCCGTGTATTCAGCTTGTGCCTTGGCTTTTTCTGTTCTTGTTCGGCTGGTATTGATCGCTGCCTTCTTGTTTCTTCTTTCTTGAATCTTATCCAGTGTATCAACAGTGATCCATTCCTTGTGGTGGTGCTTCTTGTGACCCAGGACCTCATGACATGTTGAAGTGATTGCCTCTTTGATCCCCTTCCAGTTGCTCTCCACAGTAGTTCCTTCTCCATTGAGTAGATCATGAAAGGCCTGGAACTTGTTGCTGAGGACTATCTTGAATTTGTTGAGTTTGTTAGTATCCTGGAGAAAGGCCGTATTGAACTTTTGTGATACTGTCTGCCCCATTGTCCAGTGCTTCTTGAGTTTCAATTTCATCTTGGCGACCAGTAAGTGATGATCTGATGCTATATCAGCTCCTCTCTTGGTTCTCACGTCCTCTACAGTCCTCCTGAACGTTTTGTTGATGCAAATATGGTCGATTTGGTTTTGTGTAGAGTGATCCGGTGAAGTCCATGTGGTTTTGTGTATGCGTTTATGTGGGAATATGGTGCCGCCTATGACCAGCTTATTGAAGGCACATAGATTTGCAAATCTCTCACCATTTTCGTTTCTTTCTCCCAGCCCGTGTCGTCCCATGATGTCTTCATATCCAGTGTTGTCCGTTCCAACCTAGGCGTTGAAATCTCCCATCAGAATGGTCAGGTCCTTTGTTGGGCACTTCTCGACGATTGACTGCAGCCTATTGTAGAATTGATCTTTAGCGTCTTCATTGTAGTCGTTGGTAGGCGCATAGCATTGGATGATGTTCATTGAAATGCCCTCTTTCTTTGTATTGAAGGAGGCTTTGATGATCCTTGGTCCATGAGATTCCCGTCCTATAAGTGCATTTTGCGCTTGTTTGGACAGCATCAATGTAACTCCTTGTGTATGTGGTGCATTTTCTTCTTCATGGCCGGAGTATAACAGGAGCTCTCCTGTAGTTAGTCGTTGTTGTCCAACTTGTATCCAATGTGTTTCACTGATCCCAAGTACCTCTAGGTTGTATCTTCTCATTTCTGCCGCAATTTGGAAGGCTCTTCCAGTGTCCCACATTGTACGAACATTCCATGTACCTAAATAAATGGTCGCTCTGGTTGTCAGAAGGGGCATCGGCCTCGTAACTTCCGAAGGAATTCGGCTTTCATCATGAGGCGTCATAATTCTTCTAAATGAAGACCTTCTGACTCCCAGGGCAGAGTTTAAAAGGTTTGAATAATTTTTTCTGGTTAGCGTTTTTTTAGCGAGTTAGTTTTCTACGGGATGGGGACGCTAACCCCATGCCCAACCCTCCTCCTTTATCCGGGCTTGGGACCGGCAGTAGCCCCCGGAGGGACTCCAGGGGGAGTTTTGGGTTTATACGCTGTTAACTAAATAGGTGATCGTAGAGAACCACTATCATTTTCACGAGTTTTTCACATATGAACTAGCAAAGCTATTTGAATATGTAATCTTCTCTCATATTAATGTAAAATCAGGATAATAAAGAACATTCTGATAAAAACACTGGTAAAATTTGAATATCAATAAACACACAGAGGTTTTTATATCTGGTAGCGTTCCAGTCACTTGAAACGTTAAAGAGCGCCAACAGAACTTATGAAAGGATGACATACTGCTTCTATACGGTGCGGGATTCTCATTTCCGTAGAGATCAGAAGCCGCATATTAAATTTGTATCTTGGAGAAATGGTCGTAGAACACTAGTGGATCCCCGCAGCCGATTAGACGAAGGAGGTAATTTGATTAGTGTTATTATCTTGTTCATGAAGGACTTCAATAGACGCTAGTGATAATTACTTCCCTGTCCAATTAACAAATTATTGCAGGTGACGAAATGTTTGTTCATTATCATATGAGCACACACTTTCAAAAACAAGTTAACCAATCACTTATTTCTAATTTTTTTAATCACACCCTAAAATTTCTTATCAATTGGTGGTGGGGTATCATAATGGCCGTGCAATTATTGTCAACCATAAAATTTACACATTTAATTCAGAATTTGTACTATTACTTTTATCTGTTAAAGTAGATATAAAGTATTAGCCAAATTGTAAATATCACCAAATGTAATTTTATAGTTCAACTGACCTGCAATTCACTTTCAGCTTCTTTACGTCTTAGCCATGCTTTGCCTTGACCTTGAGGATCAATTAACAATGGGTAACGTTTAGCACGTGTTACAATCAACCCATTTTGAATTGATAATTCATCATTAGGTAAGCCTTGAACACTCCATTCGCTTAATGTCGCATTATCCACCAACATTGTGATGTAATTAATGTCCTTTTTTGAAGTATGAGTAGATTAGAAAAAATTTAAAAAAAAACATGTAGAAACCATCAATAACTTAAACATACACTGTGGACTAATAGAATGAGTTAGGAACTGAAAATTTTACTTTGGTAATATTAGAAACATTTTAGACAAAATGTCAGATAGTCTTAGGACTTTCAGAATTGGGAACAATTTACATAATGAACTAGAGAAACTTATTCAATTCTTTGGACCAGTTTTACCGAGTAATCATGAACTAGTTTCTAAAACTCATTTGACCAATCAAAGAACGTGGAAGAATAACATGAATTCACTATATTTCAAGGTTCCTCGTCAGCTGCTTACAACCTGAAAATAGTAGTATTATCAGCATCGAGATTTATGGAAATTGTAGTATTGTAACAGTTGAATTCACAAGTCGATCTAAACGACATCACCACTGAAAACCTGGAAGCACTGGAGGGTCGTTTTATCCTAGTATGGGACAGTGCGCATCCGCGACCCCGCGTGAGCTCAATCCGTGTCAGGTGTGAGACAGTTATCCACCCAAGATAATGGATGAAGGGTTGCGCAAGAGTATTATTTGGTTGTTTTAAATCATACATGTATACCTTAGTGTAGGGCCATGATGAACAATTTATTGAAAATAAATTTCTTCGCCCGATTCGTTCTTTACCAAAATATCAAAAAGGGAATTTTCACCATAACATATTAATGTCATAGTTATTTAGCACATAAATCAAAATTGACTGAGTACAGATCAGATAAGAAGTGAGATTTAATAACTAGTGTCATGAAAAGAAAAATTATGCAACAAACATTTATGGATGAGTTCAGCACGACAAAGCAAGATTGAATCTTTTTGGACACATAAATTTGGTTTAGGTCTTTTAATGGCAATTGCTATGGCAAACCTTAGTAACGTTGACATTTTTTGTTTATTAATTATCTTGAAGGAATTTAATACATCATCACCATAATCACTGTCAATCAGATGGTATGAGATTGCGCTGCTGAAAATGTGCTGTCTTCATAGTCTAGGCTTCTATAGAATGTGCTCAGAGATGCGGATATTAATCCTCCCTTACTTTCTTCCTATGTGTGTGCGTTGGTATGTACATTTAAACTGATAGACATAATAAGCCGTAATATAAGGTGGGAATTTGTCCATAAATGACCGTATTAATCAGCAATTCGTTTGACACAGAGAGAACAACTTGGCAGTTGGATACATCCTTTTTATCATAGCTTTTAATCTGAAATCAGTCTTTCCAGATATTGTGTTACCCATGAATCCAATTCTTAAGAAGATAAGCTTTTGCTCAACCATAGTATGCTCCATTTTCTTCGCTTTAGTCTTCCCATATTTGGTTATGAAGTTCTAAAACTTTAGCCTTTCATTAGTAAGTTATTGTCATAAGTTAACAACCGACATTTTCGAACCCCCGTTAGTTATTTATATAAAACCTGTTTGGCAACGAAAATTATGAAGGCAATTAAGCACAAAGGCAAGTCGTTCGTCATTTATATTTGTTACTTTGTAGCTTTGATTTTTGCTAGTTTAGATCTCAGTAGTTCTTTAGACGTAGGCTAGAAAACCATAAAGTACTAGACAAGTATTCTCTCTTAGTGAGGGATTCCTCAGAAATGCACATTAACGACTAACCAGGATTAAATTCAGGATATCTAGACCTCACAGAGAGCTATCAATCATTCAGCCATTGAGTTCACACCTAGTAGTTTCGACTTCCTAGTTTTCAATGGTTGTCTAAGGTCAACCCATAATGTAAGCTACAAAGTTCAACAACAATCCAAAAACCACGAATACTAATAATATGTTATTTTAATAAATCTTAGAAAGAACGTACATCAGAAAATGGTATTTTATTTTGTACTAATTCTCGACGCCAATTCTGATTTAGTAAATTACGAAAGTCTTGATTAAATGGTCCAGTATATGAAAGAAATCCAGTTGCTAAAAGTACATCTCCGACTAGCCGATTAATTTGCTCTTCAAATGTTTGACTTGCTTCTGTCCATCTAATACGTTCACCTAAATAAAACATTCAAAATAAGGTATTCTGTAAATTGATTGAAATCTTTGATTAAAAGAACACAATATGAATTCAGTATTGCAAGAAAACAATAATTGTTTAATAATTTTAAGGCGTATATTAATCCAAACTTAAAATTCTGTGTTGTTTCCTGCTTCGTAAATTGTTCAAATTTGATAAATTCGTAAGATAACACTATCGTTTGAAACTATTAAAAAATCAATGGAAAAAAGATAGTAATTTGAGTCAGTGTGTTTGTGGAGATCGTTGAGTTTCAGTGAAAACATGAACTGATCTGAGTTAGACCACCAGTGAAATACAATAAACCCAACAACCCTATAATTACGGTTATCATGTGCTCGGCAGTGCCTAGCTTCGAGTTCTGTGGGAAACTGTGACCATTGGAGCTAATCCATGTTGGGTGTGAGGCAGTTATCTAGTGGTGGTTAAGCGCACGTGCGCGGGACTGATAGGTCCTGGGTTCGAATCCCGCGAGACGGGATCATGGATGCGCTCTGCTGAGGTGTTCCACAATACGACGAGTGCTTCCAGGTTTGGGAGGTAAAATCAGACTCACGCGTTCGCGTCGTGCCTCCTGGATAGTGGGACGAATGACTCATGAACTAATGTGAGCGGTAACCCGGATGGTAGAGATTGGGCTAATCACCCACCCGACCGATACCCTCAAATCAATTACGAACTCCACAAAAAAACGCAGCAGAATTACTCTTGGATGGATAAACGGCAAAAAACTGACAAAAGTGGTGCATGTAATGTACGGGGTCGCTCCTCACGGTGTAAACCCCAACTGGTTGCAAAAACAGTTATTCTAGTCCCGGTAGTTGTTTCGTGCTTCGATGTGGCCTGTTTATCTCCAGAAGAGCCTACTAGGCTTCACCAACTTGTTTGGCTAGAAGGGGCACCTACCGAACACAACAGAAGGTGGTTGGAAAACATTATGGACTGATTGAAGTTAGACATTAACAAGGTTGGATTTCGGCTTATGCATTCATTCACAAAGCTAAAGGTTCTGAGTTCAATTCCTGCGTCCAGTAATTTTATACTGAGACAAACAGACTGTCCAGTGCCTCCAAATTTTTAATGGTGGTCGAGCTTAGATCGGTTCATGATTTCAGATAAGCAATTGTCAAAATGCATTTAGGATATTTCTTATAACATAGTCCACGCCTGTATAATTGATAGACTTTTGAAGAATTCAACCTGATCTTATTGATCAGTGATTATTGGTGATACTTTAACAAACATGAGGTTGTTTGGTTAAATGATCAGTTTTTAGATTTACTGGAATAATTTTAAGGAGATAACTTGTAAAAGTGTAGTAAGTTATGGTATTTTTAATAAGTCATATCTTTATAATAGCCAACACTAGGTTTCATTTATACACAAGTGATTAGTTGGAATGGAATTTTAGAAATAAATGTTAACTACAACAAATTTTGTTGCTAGTTTATTGTTTTGACTAATAAGCACTTGAAAAATTTGTTTTTTATTCTTACCCGCAAGACCTTCTATCAATGCTGTAGCATTACTCATTTTTCTTCTACATCCGTCAGCCTCATCTAAGAGTTTCTGTTTGTCAGCCATTGCACGATCATATTCCGCTTGGACCAGATCCAATTCCCTTTGCTTCTCATCTAGTTGACCCTGAGCAACCGCCAATTCAGACAAAGCTCCTTCCAGTCTCTTTTCCTGTAGTGCTAACATTGACTATATATAAAAAATAAAGCAATAAAAAATTTGTTCATCAAAACGCTCTCATAGATTATGGCAAACAATTCAATGAGCAAACTTTTTACTGAGTATTCGTAGGGATTTGATTTAAAGATTTTTCACAGGGTAAACAGAAATAAGTTATCAAACCACAGAAAACTAGGGAGCACAAAAAATTCAAGTCTCACATAGAACTAGAGTTCAATACTTCACACTCTTGGGATACTGAGACTGAATTGTGCCCCAAGTTGGAGATTTGGCTGGTAAGTATTTTACCATTAAATTGTTTAAATACTATTACTTTGTGATCTATATTTAAAACTCGATTTCTTTAGTAGCTGGTTTCATCTGGAAATGCATGGAAGACTTGACAAAAAGAGATGGTTGTCAAGATTAGTTTGAAAGTTCTTAATTTATTAAGTGATGATGTAATGTCCGTTATGATGTGAAAAATGTCAAAATACAATGACTTGAAAAAACAATCAAGAAAAATATTAATTTAATTTAGTTGAAAGATATGTTTCACTTCCACAGAAGTAATAGTTTGAACAATAAGTTTGGCATTACACCTTATTATTTGTACTTTCCAACAAATCAATGATTTATCATTTATGTCTTGTCTGTTATATGTTTTTTTTATCAACCAAGAGCTTCCTAACTTTATCTTGGTCACTAAGATAGGCATTTAGGTTGTCTAAGTAATCATTTCGATTTATTAGGCTTATTTCTGCGTGTCTTATCTAATGGTAAGTAAATTACCACTTTTCTTAGAATTTCATTTGATTAGTGATTTATAATATAGTCAAATGCGTTGGGCTTATTAACTGACATATCGAATTCCTGTCAGGAGTACGATAAATAAATGTTATGTATAGTATAAAATTTATAAAAAATCATTCATATGAGATGGCAATAAGGTAAGTAGGAATAAAGTAACTTGAATGAATCTACATTACTGTGAGTTTTTGTATATAAACTTTGTGAAATCTATCTTCAAACTAGTCACTAGTGAGGACACGTTTATTATGCAGTAAGGATGCTGGAGTTCAGAGCACGTGTTTTATCCAATTTAGGACTTGTCAGTTAAATGTATTCACTATCTAATGTTGATTTTCATACAGAGATTAGAGCTTAGTATGTTTCAGTTCAAATACCAAAACATCAATACTCACTGATCAATTGAGTTATAAAATCTTACAAATGTAGATCAAGTACTTGTTAATCTTGCCAGTACTTCTATCTTTAACCTTGTGATATTGTTTGTAATAGCTGAACTATACAGAAATAAATTCAGTTTTAGTCCTCTTAACAAGTGTTCGGTATATCATAGGATAAAGTGTTGGCCAAACTATAAATATTAGGAATTTTATTTCATTTATTGATAGAGAATATATCGTTTATATAATGTAGGTAGTTTTTGGGATTGGATTTTGTAAGGTTGTACTAATTTAGGTTATTATCACAATTAGGAGTAATTTCTTAATGAACGACTACATTACGTATTTTTATCGTTTATCTAACTGTTTAAATATTGAATAGAAGACATATCGTTAGGTTTGTTATTAAAACCGAACTCAACAGATTGATTTGCCTAGATAGTTCTTACTTTATTCACGTGTTTTTCAGATAGAAGAGACTTTAATTCAAATCAGAAATATAGTCATTGTAGGTAACAAAGAATATAAAGTTCTAGTAAACATAACATTTTTAAAAATGTTTATATACTAATAGAGTGTATGTATTTGTGATAATTTACCTTAAGTGGTAAAACTTCTTTATTAACAGCAAAAAATGAAGCCATAGCTTTCGTCCATGAACATAAACCAGCAACATCACCACAAACACGTTTAGCTTGTTCCATATTGAAATCATCCATTTCGAAATAAGGTAACATTAATTCCACTGTTTCTTCATTGATTGTGTCCTAAATTCAAAAATAATGTTGTTTTCACTATGGGTTATTAACATCATAGTTAATTAACTCTACTTTTATAATAGATAATTTGTCAGAGCCAGTTCTAAATCAAAAGTAATTTTATTATATTCTGTCTATAAACGTTTGAAACTCTTGAAAAATGTTTCAAAAGGCTGGAGAGGCTGAATGACCAATTATCGTTCTTCAGAAACTTTCAAGAAAATTCTAGAAAACCCCTAGTTGTGTTTTCGTTACACTGATGGGAGAATAACGATTTCGTTATCTGTTTTAAAATCCCACCTAGAATCTACTAAAATTGCAAGGTCACATAATTCTACAAATGCCCTTGTTTTCTGCAGACACATAGGCCATCGAAGTAAACCTTCTCTCATGAGTTCGGTCTTTTATTTCCTATTTAAGCTTGAAGAATAGGTTTCTAAAAATTAGAAAGCGGTTAGAAGGTCGGTATATAAGGATAATGTCTAAAGCATATCGGTGAATGCTAATTCATTACTGGGTTACACTAGTTAGAGTATTGTAAATCGCACTAACCACTTCTTACAGTAATGTACATTGTTGACTAAAGATAAGCTTGAAGTGATCAAATCAATATTATACGAATTAATTAGCCTTTGGTCTTGTGGGATACTGAAGAATTTAACGTCTTGGTCCTGCATGAAAATCGATAGCTCAACACTATAAATGAATTTAAATGTTGTTATGTATATATTCTTTATGTAAATCTGATTTCCATAGATTCATTCTATGTAGTTTTATGGGTATTTCCCCCTAAAATCTTCTGACAAATAATGATATTCATTATAAATTATCAGTTGTTTTTTGCATTAAGTTAGATATTCTATAATAATAATCATCAAAAATATTCAATGAGTAGATTTCTTTTATATTCGTGGTTCCTATTTAAACATTAATTACATTTTTAAGGTTGTTTTTGTTACTGAAGTACTTTTAACGTAAACAGCTCATCACTCAAAGCATATATGGAGTTAAGTGAAATACATATTGATCAGCTGTTTAATAATAATGGTTTAATCAAATTGTAATAAAATGTTTTAAATTAGTATGTATTTATTCAGTTTACTAGTAAACAGTTAAGAATGATCAAATAAAAGTATTTTGTCATTTTGTGATATCAATAGTCGGTGGTAGAAATAGTATCTAGAAGTTTACGATTATTCGATACTATGTTTAAGGTATTGAATTTAAAAAAATTGAAAACTTTACTGAATGTTCTTAGCTCATGAAGTCGTTTACGTAATAAAAATCTCTCAAAATTCCACACTGAAGGTTGTTGAACATAAGTCAACCACTTTACATTTGAAGACAGTCTATTCAGTAGTATATCTACAGAAATTTGATTGATAAAACATGTATGCTGAGCCAAACCAATCAAATCTCCTTGGATAAACCTAATCGGCAGATTAATTCTATAACTGATTGCATTTTACAATGGAAGTTTATGATTACAATAATATCACTAATTAAGATAAACATTTTCAACCGCCATTATATTTCATACCTTAGGAAAATTCAATAATCCATTTAAAAAGTTTGCACCACCCATAAGTTTTAATGCTTCATTCCAACTGGGTTTAGGACAAGGACGTTCGGGATCCGGTGTGACAGTATCCAATCTCTTTTGAAATAACAATAAGACACAATCCATAATACGCATAATCAAATGTGGTGGTCTACCAAGTTTTCTCACTAAAATATAATAAATTAAGTAAAGGAAATAATGAATTTATCTGAAGAGCACACGAGTTTCACTTCTTTAAATCATTCCTTAATTATGATGATAATTATAATATGAATATAGATCATACCTATTGTTCTAGTTATTAACTTTAAAATACATGAAAGAAAAATTACGGTCGGATTGAAGGCAGTAATTTAAAGCATTAATAATCTTAGTATATTGTTGGGTAACTAAGTGAATGAACAAAACTATATTTTAAAAATTATATTTAACAGAGAATCAGTCCTATTATACGGGGCTGAGGGGGAAAGGATTATTCAGTAAGAATTATACTGCAGTAAGTTGATATGTTAAGTAGACGGAAATTTGCTTCCAATGATTTTAGGATGTAATTAATTCACTACGGAGACCATTTTTATTCTCATGAACACTTTTTAAATCCTAGTGACTGTTTTAATTCAGTTGATCTGATATAGCAAGACAAATTGATCTTCTGTTTCTTTCTTGATAGATTAGATTTATATTGACTTGTCTATGCACTACATGATGTTAGAATTCAGAAAACTGTCCAGAATTCTTGAAGTTTCTTTAATATGCGTTAATCAATCAAATTGACGTCCATGGTTAATTTTTTAAAAAGGTTTTGATATGAATGAGGCTATATTATATATGTTAATTATTCCATCATTAATGTTCATAAATGCATAAAAAAGGTGAAGTTTAATTTTTTTGAATATATTCCCCTTCGTGGTTGATATAATTAGTCAGTTTTGTAAATGATGTTAATTCTATCCATTTTTTATATCAGAATCTTTTGGTTAGGATAAAATGAATGGACGTAAGTGTGTTGGATTGTGAAGAAAACCACAAAATATTGTTAAATTCATTGTGTTTTTTAGATGTTTACACATACATTTAGACTATCCATTCTGCTATCTCTAAAGAATAAAATACTTTTAAAAATGTCATTTAATAGTTATTGTCCCGTAAAGCTTACGGAATATTTAATTTATCGAATTCTTTCAACTGTTTCTGAGACAAGAATTTGATAGTGAGTTGTACTTTCTTTGAGGAGTATCTTTACACAACAACGATAAAACTGATTTCGTCGAGTAACTCTTCTACCACAAATCGGGTGCCATCAAAATGTTTTTGATCAATAAGTGAGTATTATTATTTCATTCCTCTTGATGAAAACAAATGTGTCATTTATCCAGCCTATCCAAATCCGTAGTCGGATTAGTTGTATAGGTTTGGTCAACATACTTTGAGCCACAGCTTTGACAATTAGTTTAAATATAAGGAATCTTACTCATATCTCATTGAAATATGAATAAGTGAAACCAACACTTTGAAATCATTGACAAATAGAGAACTATTAGATATATTAAACATTAACAACGCTTATTTATTTAACTTACGTTTATTATCACTGAGTACTTGAGAAAGTGTGTATTTGATTAGTGGCTTTCTGTCGAAGTAAATATAAGGGTTACATTAAAAGTAACGAGCACTTCCTCATTGCTTAAAAATATCCCTTAACGTTACATCACAGATAAATTGATAACATGATTACATTAAATGTTTTAGTTTCCTTCTAAGTTCTCTAGATAAATTATGTTCCAGTCTCTAAAAGTGACAAGATCATTACTGGGACTTGATATACTTACACTGATCACCAATCAGTAATCAATCAGTTGTATCATTTGTATCATTTATAACTGAGTTATGTACAAATCGTGATTTCTTATTCATATTTTTTAGTAATCATTCGACTAATTTATGTGTTATTTTATAGGTTTTGAGTCATAATAACGGAACTATTATAAGCAGAGATAGATGGTAGTTAGCAGTGCATCATCGTATTTGGAACTCGTCAACTGGCTGAACTTGCACCTCAGAGTTCATATTCACTCAGAGACTTGGACCTTTACCATTGACTCCAAAAGCCATCGCGCTACCCAAGGTACAGAGGTTTAAGTCCCTGAGTGAATGTCAACTTTGAGATGCAGGCTGATCTAGCTAGGGAGTTTGAAATCGGACGAAATTCTCACCTTGGATTCTATTGCTTATAATATTTGTGATTTCATGGGAATTTTGAGGCAGTCTGCACAAGAGAGACTGGTCAACTGCAGTTCTGAGCATCAACGGGAAGATTCAAACAACCAATAAAAATGAACAATCATGAAAGGTGCAGAGCTAACCAGTATTCTGTAAACTCCATAATCTTGTAACTTTATTAAGTGAGCAATACCAAGAAGCTGTACGCATATATTTAACCTCATCAGCTATTCACTCGTAACCTTATTTGTTTCTACATGAGGGTGTGTGTATGTCAGCATATCACTTTCTCGGTCTTTTATCTGTATGTTTGCATGAATTTCCCTTCATCTCTCATCATTTACCTGGATTATTAAACATCTGAATTATATAGATTCTCCAAATACTTTCATATTCGACTCTTTTATTATACGCATTGTTATTAATGGGATTTGTCGACGGAATGTTAATAAAGTTTAGTGAGATCTATATCTCATTGGCACTGAAATCGTTCGAGTCATACTCATAATAAAAATCACAACAAAACAGATATTTTGTTTAGAATAAATACTCACCTGTAGAAATATGTGTTGGTTTAATTGTTTCTAATGCAGCTTCAGCTTCCATTAAAGCTGGTTTAGCTGCTTCTAATTTCATTTCAGCAGATGCTTTATCTACACTAATTCCATCAACAAGTACTTGTGCTTTATCTTTCACTATTTGTACTTGAGTTTTAACTTTTTGTGCTGCTGTCGCTTGAACAGTTACTTGTGTTAGAACTTCTTCTGATTTTTTATTAGCAATAGCAAGTTCTTTTTCTTTTTCAATTAATTCTTTACTTAATTCATTTACTGATTCAGTTGCTTCAACTAATTTTTTTAAACCAGTATTCATACGTTCAGCTAATTGACCAATTTCATTATGTTTCATTTTATATATTTCCATGTAACCATTAATAAATGATAGATATGATTTGGGTGTAACATGAGTTTGACGACGAAAACGTTGAAAATAATCAGTACATGATTCAGCTACCAAATCCTATTATTATGGTCATTATTATTATTCACATTGTGCATTTCAGTTTTTTTTATAAAAGGGATATAAAAAACAAAATACATAATTTTAATATCAGAAGGGGTTTTGTGAATATTATAGTAATTTTCAGTAGTTGAGATCATGAGTCAATTGAAGCTAGATCACCATGGAAAACCTGAAAGAACTAGACGGCCGTTTCGTCCTAGTATGGGACTCCTCAGCAGTGCGTATCCACAACCATGTCTCACGAGATTCGAACCCAAGACCTATCAGTCATGCGCGCGAGCGCTAAACCACTAGACCAGCATTCAAGTGCGTTAATGTATAACTTCAACCAATCCACGAAGTTGAGCGACCGTAGACCATCATCTTCAGTGAGTTGATGTCTCACAACAGACCCGGTTGAACTCCACTGGTCACTGCTTCTCACTAGAACTCCGGGATATATCTATTGAAGACAGCCACTAGTGAGCATATGTTGATTAATATCAGAAGGGGTTAGTTAAAACGTCAGATTTTATAACTTAAGATAAGTATTTCTATTTCTCTTAGTTTTAGATTAGTAATTGATACCAGTAGATAAACGACAACTAGAAAATAATTATTTTCATTGATGAGAAAGGGTGCAACAATTAACTAAATTTTTTATGATATCCTGTTTAGTAGACGAGGTGACGGTTCGTCAAACAGAAGAATGTATAGGAATAGCTTCTTCGCATATTGGTAAACATACTTATCTATAGTTTTACACCTATTTGCTATAAAATAAAATTGGTTAAATCCCTTATATACAGAACAAAAATAGTCTACTCGAAGGATACTATGAAGAGTTGGAGTTTATTGATAAAAGACTGACCGAAATAAGCTGTCTGAGAAGTATTTTTAGTGAAATGTATGTATCCAAGGAAGAATAACTTGGAAATATGGACCACGCATAAGAGACCTCTATTCATAAAACTAAAATTTGACGGGATTGTGCCTAGTGACGATAGATCGACGAAGACAGTTAATTGGGACATTTTACGTAGCTGATTCTAAACTGGCATTTTCTATTGGACTATTAATGTTTGCTCAAATAAAAAATAGGTTACCAGAGTTTATCTCTTCGATGAGTGACTACAAATTCAGTTGTTCCTGTGGAGAGATATATATTGGACGCACTACCGGATAACTTAACCAACGAAGAGGTGGACATTCCTCGGCTTGATTTAGAAAGGCCATAGCAATACACAGCTCTGTCCTGGCAGACCTGGCTGACAATGATCATATGGTCAGTAAAATTAAATCATTTGAGTGAATCATAGTATACCTTCGTCGTTTCCCAGTGAGTTTAGATCCCGTCTTCTTCATAAAGTAGAAGCTAAAAAGGTCTGAACCCATAATCCTAGTTTATGTGTTCAGAAGAACTTTGTAACGCCCCAGTTACTTCCTTCGCCGGCTATGATGTTACTAATTTTTTCATATGTCGTATATGATGCCTTTTTATACCTTTCTCCGTTTATATTCTTCACTATCCGACTTTTCCCGGATTCAGATTTGTGGATGTGCACCGCAAAGGAGTGCTATATTAGGCCTAGGACGAGACACCTGTCTACTGCTTTCTGGTTCTCAGTGCTGATCTAGCTAGGATCAGTTCGTGATTTAAACTATGAAAATTCTACTAGTACAATAAATCCCTCTGTGTAATTTCATCACGTAGTCCTAATAATTTCTTTGTGATTGCTATTTTAAAGTCTGTTTATCCAAGTTTGACCTGTTTGAGTTGTTGAAGAGAATTTTTGTTATTTAAATATTCCTATCGTTACATGTACCACTGTCTTCTTCGTAGCGAATCATACTACCACAATATTCAATTCAATGAAGAACTAAGAAAGTTATCACATATTCAATGTCATCCGTTCATGTACCTGATGGAAAACTATGTATTCATGTCTATGTCTACACTATAATTTTTGTTCAATTAGCTACAACAGTAATATGGTGAGTATTGTCTATTACGCGACAAAAGAAGCCCAAAAATAACTAAGCAGAATTTTTAGAAATAAGCTAATATTTTAATCATCAAATATAATGACATTTCACGGTATGTTGATAAAATATAAAGACTTGTCCGATTGTTTTCGAAAATTAATTCGAAAATATATTTATGTGCCATTCCAAAACTCATAAGATTTCATGATATTCATTTTAATTAAAACAAGGTATCTGGAATTAATCTATTATTCTCGTTAAAGGGGTGTAGGTTTAGACGGATAGGTTCCTATGAGTTAGCCAGCTTGTAAATCAATATTTTATTTTTTTTAACAAGAAGTAAAGATTAAGTGTTACATGTAAGAGATGCTACTAAACTGTTTAAAAATAACATGCATTTTTAGTAGACCTATGATATTAAACTGGCTTCATTTAGTAGAGATTTTTAAATTCCGTTATGTATTTTTAATGACGTGAAAATAGTGTGCTCGACTTTTGATCACAAAAAACCGAACTCACTTGAAACACACCCATTGTCTGTACTACAGCTTTTTTCACATTGGGTGTACAGACTATGTCAAAAGTAGATAAGAAATGATTCGATACAGCAATCAACGCGTCTTTAGGCCATCTTTGAAACCAATCCATTGTGCAACCAGAAATAAGACCAGGAAACTTCAAACTTCTATTACGAAACTTTTGTCCAACTGGTGAAAAGCATAAAACAACATGTAGATTTTGTGTTATCCTACTTGAATAATATTCAGCTAATGTTTCATTAGTAATAGGTCGACGTGGAAATTCACGTTTCATAGGGCCAACTAGTTCTTGTAGAATTTCATCCATTTCATCCCGAGCAAATAAGTTGGCGATTTCACCAGAACTAAGCATATTATTTAAATATTCCAAGAATGACTCATCTTTGATTTCATTATCAGTAAATAAGAATGTTATCCCTTGTCCTTGGTGGCCGGCTGTCCGATAAAGATATTTCAAATCCTCAATAAGATTAGAGACATTATATGATCTGCAAAACAATAAGGAAAACTGTAATGTAAAAAAGGTTAGGTCACAAATGCAAGTAACTGGATATATTTCACTGAATGTTAGAACTAGATTTTTTCTAAGATTTATGGTACCTATAGATTACCTTGGAATTTATATCAGTAAGCTCAGTCATAAATGCTTCATGCTAAATAACAATTACTGAAGCGGTCAAATTAACAGATCAATTCACAAAAACTATTGGTTTTCCCTGAATTTGGGTACCTTGTAATTACCTCATGAAGTACTTTTGTCCATCAAATAGAAGTGGTTTGCATAAAAACTTGAGAAATGGCTACTGAAAACGTGTGGAAAAACCCATAAGAGTAAAATACCTGAAAATTAAAACGAAAAATTGGCATCCACTGTACTATATAATCCTCAAAAAACTATCACAATAAATCTCTGGCTTGTTGATAAAGCTTTTGTAGAACTAGAAATGTAGTTACTAGAACCAGTAAAAAAACAAATTATTATAGTGTTTCTAACATGAAATAGTTTAAAATAAAAATTTATCTATTGCACCTACTAAAAATGTACTTGTTGAATGTGTCCTACTCACCCAGTTAGTCATGCTTATTACGAGTAATATCACTTCAAAGATTATTAACTACTTTGTTATTTCAACTGTCCACTTTTACTTAATATTAATCCCAGTTATCATTACTGTCTTCGTATATCTTACGATCAGTTGCTCTAATTCTTTACAAATGACTCAGATTGTAACAATTTATCGTTTCAGTTCTATTGACTGCTGATTCATGTTAACTTTATCTGTTCTTACTGATTCTCCTAAGAGGTATCTTAAACGCTTGTGCTACATTCGATGAATTTGATAACAAGAGGAGCCATTAAAATTCATCATTTAGCAACCGTCTCTGAAAAAAATCTGAATTTTATAGTGATAATGTGATTCTCTTCTACTTTGATTAAATAACGTATCAAGAACGCATCGTCAAGATGACTTAGATCTTTTGGTTTCAATGATAGAACGATAGAACAAAATATTCAAAGGTCAGATTGGTCATCTTATGTACTTAATTTACAAATGTGTTAATCCAATTCTTGTCAGACTGATTAGGTTTACAACCAACATTTTGAAGGTGGAGTTGTGAAGAATTTCCGGTAAAATTATACGATAATGACGACTTTGAGCGAGTTATTAACTAATCAAGAAATAATAATTATTCATAAAACGATTAAGAACGAAAAGTGATAAAACTTCTGTGGAATAATAGTTTACGTATAATTAATTGATCCTTACATCTTAAATTATTTATTGTTGTAGAAGAAAAAGTTACGTCTCCGCATGTGGAATTCAGTTAGTGTTGCGAATTAAGGTTATGACCATATCGTTTTCATCACCAAGTGACATCAGCTGTTATATAATCAGGCTTTGCCATTTGGTTGGCAAACTTGAGACTGTTGAAGATAAGATTTAGAGCTAATAATTAGATTAGGAGAATATTGTCCAACTACACAAACGCTCTTGACTATAGGTTGAATTACATCAAATATTCTAACATACAACATATGTAAATAGCAGACATTTCTTGTAATTTAGCTTAAGCACCATGCTATATCCACTGTATGGTCGCACAGTCGATATTTTTAATAATTTCAAGTATTTCACTAATCAAGTGTATCTTATTTCTACTGAGTTTCTAATAACATTCCAGTTATGTTTAACTGAGCTTTCAATTTCGTGCTAAAAACTATAAGGCTCTACCTTGATTTTGATTGGCGCACTCGAGGCCACCAACATAATATAATTTTATCGGTTGTCCATTTCAAAGTTAATTTGTATCACGCACTAACGACAGCTAACCTTTAGTATCTCAACATAGAGGTTAAAATAAATTATAGAATGTAAACCATAATATTGTGACTAAATAATATTGTAACTCAGAGTAATCGTACCCGACTGGAAGTTGTTGGATCTAGTTACTAAGAGCGTCATGAGTGTGAACTATTGAGGGACCTCAAAAGTAGACAGGAGTTATCACTAATTGACCAGATGATATCGGTTCATGTTTGAAAGTCAAAAAAAGACACTTCTATCAATAGTAAACTTCAAATTCAAATTTATTTTTTGAGGAAAATGAGTTCTAAAGTTAGCTGAAATCACTTGACATCAAGGAAACAATAAGTGAAAAATATCTAATTTAATAAATTACTGATTATTTATTTCTTACCGGCTTAATGTTATCTGAAAAGTTTTATAACCTGCTATAAATGAAGCTAAACGTGTAAGCGATTGTTTGCCTGAACCACCAACTCCAACCAACAATGCATGACCTTTAGGTGTTCTGATTACACGTGAAATTTTTACAAGATGTATCATAGCATCCTTGAAAAATACCAAATCTAATTTACTGCCACGTACTGCTTCATTGTACATTTGCATCAACATTTGTAAACGATTACTCAATTGTTCTAGACTTATGATTGGTTCGTATATTTTCGGTGCTTCAAAATCTGCATCATCTGTCTCTTCACCAGTTGCTTCTGCAGCGTCCCTTAAGAAATCAACAAAGTAAGGATCTGCCCAATCAGTTTGGTTTGCTAAAGCACCACATTCTTCAATTCCTGTAAAGAGTATATTATGCAAATTCAATAAACTGAATTATTCTGAACAACAATGATTCACTTTTTAAAGAAAAGAAAATTTACATTGAAATCAAGTATATAACTATCGTACCACTGTTCTGTTATTGTTCCATCTTCAGTGACACGAAACTGGAACGCTAGGAAAAAGTAATCTTATGTTTCGTTCTAGTTCAAGTGCATCTTGATAGTTTAATCTAACTTATTTACACCTGTTACTCTTTGAGGAGGAGAATAGGCCGCCCGCTAGGATTCTCCGTCTGGTCTATCCTTCCCCATTGTTTTCATCTTTTTGATGTCTGCTTCCAATTCTAAGCGTTTATGAAATTATTACAGACTAATTTGGGTTTTAGTAAACTCCTGAATATTGTTATTAAAATACCAAAAATAGTTAAATTAGAAATTAGGAACTCTGTTCTGATTTTTCCCGAAAACCCGATTTCAACTAAGTTTAATCCACAAATCTATTTACATTAAAGCCCTCATTATGTAGTGATGTCAGGTTCACGAATAATTTTGTCTGCTTGAAAAAGACATGTAAAATGTTCACAAATTTTATTTAGAGATTGCTATCTATGTAGGACGTAACTTGAAAATGGTTTGGCAAGTGATTTTAGTTTGAGGTGAAATCAGATTTAATGTAGACATAAAACAGATAGTTATTGAACTTTGAATATTATGAGTTACATAGTTGCATAAAGATGACTCCGAAGTATGTATACCACCTGAATGTGTTAAATAATCGAGCTTAGTGGCACATTTAACAAATAATTGTTTAGATACAAGAACTGTCAAAAACCAGAGAATTGTGAACAGCTTTGCTTCGTATAAGTTGAATAACTCCTTAAAACGAAATGAAGGTAAAGACGTATCGCATAGTGAGTGGAGTTGAAAATATGGACCATTGAATTCCATGTCATTAAGGTATCATAATTTACTCAAGACCCAAGAGTCATGTGCTTGGTTGTTTTCAAGTTCATGAGTGTCAAACCCTAAGGAGTCACAAACCACGGTAAAACAGTTGTTAAGAAATCATTGATCATAATTTTCTCAATGAACGATATTAGGTTTTTTAAAAGCGCTTATATTTTCTGATTGTTAATATTTCAGAGTGAAATTGATCAGTCTCCATTAAAGCTATTTATGACAGTACGAGAATACAATTGATTATAGGCAACCTCTTACCATTTGAAAACCTTAGTGATCATTTAAACTCAGTAGTTTAGTGAATAATATCTTTGACATTTGAAGTGATAGGTACTGGGCCCCTATTTAAGCGTAAGCACCTTAATATTGGAATTACGGTACATCCGGCCAATTAGTCTCAAATAAGATGTTTATAGGTCAGTCCATTAGGGTACTGATAGAAAAATGATTTTAATTAAAATGACTGTCGGTTAGATTACCTTGTAAACTAATATCACTTTAATAAACATTTAAATTAAGGGGTTATTAAGACATATCTTATTAAGACAGTCTTTATCGATTAGTAGTCAAGAGTTAATATATATTAGGGTGAAAATTTGTTCGAAAGAAGTGCTTTCATATATAATCTAAATTTTGCTTACCGACTTGTTTTAATGTTTTGTCAAACCATTCACGATCACTATGTTCAGTGAAACGATCAGCAGTGACTCGAGTGCATTCATGCTGCCATAAAGCTAATAAAATAGATGGATTAGTGATAACATCTGACGTTGTGCGTAACATTCCTTGCCATATACGACTAACATCACGTAAATTAAATACATAATGAAATTTAGCTGGAGTTGGTAACATTTTCGCTTTAACACGTTGCCAAAGTTTTCTAGTCGCTGGAACTAAACATTGAACTGTTTTAATCACATCTGATGAAAAACCTCGTTCACTACAAAAATGCCCTAATCCTAATGAACCAAAAACTTTATCCATTGAAGCATTACTAGGTAGAGTACAATTGAATATATTGAATTGACGTTTAAGTCTTTGAGGTATATCATTACGACCTCCACCAGGATGAATCATAGCAGCAACAAACTATTTTTTTACAAAAACAAAAACAAACACAACAATTAATGCACTTTTTTAAACGTAAAATTGAATAAATTGATTCCAAAAATAAAAACATGATGTTCATACTACCATAAATGAGACCACTTTAAGAATTCTGAATAATAAATGACCCTGACAGACATTAATTATTTTGATCTGACTAATATTTGTAGGATTTGCATATGAAAGTGATACTCATGGATTTTAAAGATGCGGAACTGTGAAACTCAAACCTAGCAGCAAACTTAGCAAACATAGCAGATAAGATTGAAAAGCAATTAACAGATTCACTGAAAGAAATTAAACAACAAGGTTTTATTTCAGAAAAGATGTTCGAAATGTTGAAACCTACAGGAACGATGACACCAAGACTATATGGCCTACCAAAAATACACAAAAGTGGCTTACCCCTTCGACCAGTATTAGATATGAATAATTTAGCGTATCATACTATAGCAAAATGGTTGGTGCAAATTCTTAAACCATTATACAAAGAAACTGTCAAGCATAGTGTCAAGGATTCCTTTGAATTTGTTGAGAACATAAAAAATCTATCAGTCAAGAACAATTTCATGTTATCACTTGATGTATCATCTTTATTCACTAACATTCCACTACTAGAAACAGTTGATTTTATTTGCAATGAATTAACAGAGAGACGCATAGTAACCCCGATTCCAGCATCCGCGATAAAACAGTTAATTCTTAGATGCACAATGAATGTACAATTCAGATTTGACAACGAATACTATAGACAGCTAGATGGGGTTGCCATGGGATCGCCATTGGGCCCTCTACTGGCTGATATTTTCCTTGCAAACATGGAAAACGGACCACTTAAAAGCATAATTAGCCATTTAGCAACTTATTATCCCTATATAGACAACACCTTCATAGTACTAGAAAAAAAAATGATAAGGAAAATTTACTTAATACATTTAATAACGTTCATCCATCAATTAATTTTACATCAGAAGATGAACAGAACGACAGCATATCATTTCTAGATGTCCAACTAAAAAGAAGAGCAGACGGAACTTTAAAAAGAGGGGTATACACGAAGTCTGCAGCAGGACAATACACTTATTTCTATAGTGCAGTTCCAATCAGATATAAAAGGAACTTGATAAAGATCTTGACACATCGGGCTAGAATGATTTGCTCTGAAGACACCATGGAAGAAGAATTGAATAATATTCGGAACCTACTTAGCATGAATGGGTATCCCATGAAATTCATCGACAAACATAAGATGGAGAAGAAAACAAGGAAAAAGATACCCACCGTCCATAAGAAGGTACTGTTCATAAAGTTACAATTCATAAATGACACCATTGAAGAAATCTTGACTCAGAAACTAAGAAGAGCCGTACAAAAAACATTTAATGCTGCCAGATTAAATGCAATCTTCTACAACTATCCCAAAATAAGAACAGCCAACAAAGACAGACTGCCTGAATTCGCCAAATCTATGTGTATTTATCGTTTCAACTGCTCCTGTGGAGCCAGTTATATTGGGCGTACAATTCGGCAAGTCCGTCATCGCATTACTGAACATCATCCGTCGTGGTTAAACAAAGGACAGGTAAAAGTGATTAAAAGTTCTATTCTCTCTCACTTGGTTGACACAGGTCATCAAGTCGAATTGAATAAAGCTTTTAAGGTTATCTACAATATCCCATCTAATTTGCCACATGGTTTACGAGTGCGCCTCTTGCACATTGCGGAAGCCATCGCAATCCATGTTCACAAACCTGACCTTTGCATTCAAAAGAGATTCGTACAACCACTTTCCCTGCCCTGGCCATCAGTTTAAGATTTCCTTCAAAAGAACTATTTTTCATACTTCTTCCACTTTTTTTTTTAAACTTTTGTAATTTTGTTTCTGTTGCTTTTGAACTTAATAACTTCTCATCATTCATCCCTTGATTCTTACGTAACTACCATCCTATTGACCATCCGTTAAAATTCTGTTCCTTCTTTGTTACGCAACGTAGCAACTTCTTGATCACTTTGAATATTAATAATCCTCTTTCTTCCAAATAATCAATGTTAATTTAAATGTCATTATGTAATTATTACGTAACGTATCTACTCGATGAGTATTATATTATTATTGTAAAACGTATATATATATATATATATATATATATATATATATATATATATATATTAGTGTAGAGCCATGATGAAAAACTCAAACTTGTTGAGACCTATAGCTTTATAGGTTTGAGGTAAGTTAAAGCTTCAATAAATATATCACAGTGGTTAGACGATACTACCGATTGCTTAAAACACACTGTAAAATTAGATTCACAGCCGATAGGAATACTTTAAAGATTATCTCAGTTTCGTTAGTCTACAGATAGATTAAGATGAGCATTCGACAAATTTTTGTATTCAACGATATTATTCACTGTACAAGAGATATGCTCATATTTACATAACTGGGATAGAACATCAGTTTCTGAACAGAAAATTTCATTTGATTAGGAAAACTGATTAAGAGAATATATTAAATAGTTAACTTTTAAAACAAGTACTTATTTCTCTTAGATCACTATTGTGTTGTCGAATTGTCTTAAATAGCGTTGTTTCATTTACATACGTTTACAATTCATAGCTTAAAGAAATGTTCTAAATTTGGATAAATCAAATTGATCAGAGCATCACTGGGTACAGCAGCATTATACTTCGTTTCCACCATGCATTTCGAATGATTTCGAAAAAACATTTCTCTGATCAACAACTAGGAAATTAAGGTATAGATAGACTAACTTGGACCGTTGGAAGATCATCCATACAATCAAATCAATTTCGTTTCGTGTATAATGAAAGAGAAAATATATCCACATCCTTTAAAAAATACAATACAATTACATCGAATAGTTCAATCATACGAATATCAAAAATCGCCATTTGACCAAATTATTCACTCATATAATGAAACTGATGTTGATTTGAATAAATTAGCTTATAATTTTGGACCATTTTCGGCGTACTATTTGCTAACTAGGTCCCTAAATAGAAAAAGTGATCATCTAGTGTTTTAATAATTTTGATCAATGTTTTTGTTTTGGATAACAAATATAAAATAGAAGTCAGTTTGGATGCATTTAAATTATACCTGAATATCAATTATTGTTGTAAAATCACCAGGTTTATCTAAACTATAGAAACCGGACATTTCTATTAGTTGCCTAGTAATTTCATTAGTTATTTGATCACCCCATTCATTAATAATTGGCATATTGATATCATCAATGAATATTGTCATTTTCTTTCCAGCTGGTGGTCCAAATGTACTACCCATACGTTTGTCAACATAACTTTCAATGGTACGTTGAAACATATTTGGTGAAGTGGCACTTGAAAAGTTGACTGATTTAAATACATGCACTTCTGGATTGTATTTACCGCAGTAACCTTTGATAATAACCGTCTTTGCTGTACCCTAAAAATAGACAATAAATTAGGCGTATTTCATAGAGATGAACTTTAAAGACTTGCAAATAATTCTAACAAATTGTTTATGAATAAGAAAAGTTTTTGTACATGAACAGTTTATGGAGAAGTAAACAATAGTTGTTATTAAGGGCAAATAGATTTTTTATGATTAAAGAATCTATTCGAGTATTTTACATGTTATTCTGCAGACTACAAAAAGAAAGGTGTATAGACTAATCGTTTTCTTGAGCCATTACAACGGCAAGAATAAAATTTTAAGAGTCTCTGTACTGTTCCTATTTGGAGTGAGGTATCTGTTGTTTGAATCTATTGCCTAGGGTTAGTGTTTAGGGGTAGTATTGAATGGTGCGTTATAAACAATCTCTGTGGGAAGAATGGAGTACTTGGTAAGTTTTTGTTCCATGATAACAAAACTAATTTTCCCTCATTATTTTGAACGTTCTGAGCAGAAAACAAAGGTAATTCTACAGCCCGGTTTAAGAAATATAAAATAACAGTCTTTATTTTAAATTGAGATCAAAAACTAAAGAAACTTTCTTCCATTTTGATTGACTCGTCCCTATATTACACTTTTATTTAATTGTCACCGACTGGATCCTATGGTACTTGAACTAGGACTTAAGTGTGCTTTTTTCAAGTTAATCTACTGTTTTATATTATAACAAATATATTTTCGTTGGTTGGATTATGTTTTGTTTAGATAAGCGTACTGGATTGTCATTTTGTGCCCACTAAAGACTAGCTTCAGGAGAAAATCTCCGGAGTTCTAGTAAGAAACTGTGACCACTGGGGCTAATCCATGTTGGGCGGGAGGCAGTTACCTACCGAACACAATAGAAGGTGGTAGAGAAATATCATAGATTGATTGGAGTTAAATATTAACAAGGTTGGATTCCTATTTGATGGTCTAGAGTTTATGCATTCGTTCACAAAGCTGAGGGTTCTGAGTTCAATTACTGCGACCAGGATTTCTAACTTTTTTGAACTCACAGGAGCGAAACATGAACTATATATGGCATATCTGATCTATTGAAAAACTAATAAACATACGGATCGCCAGTAAAACCGCTTACAAATAAAGCAGTGAGACCACAGATAATAACATAATTTTATGACTCGGTGTCCAATACTCATATTGATAAACAAGTTCCCTATATCCAGGCCTTCAACAGGCTACTAGAAGAGAAGACTAAAAATTAAGGAGGAAGTTTATTTAGCTAAACTGAATCAGGCACAACGTGGTCTTCACATTTGCTGACTTTTGACTGGTCTACTGCATAACATGTCAACTAGAAATTTGTAATATTCTAAAAATGAAGTTCAAAGGAAAATGATTCATAAATTTTAGCTTACCTGTTCGCCTATCAACATGACTGGTTTACATTGTTTTGCAATTAAATCAAGTAAGAAATCTGTTCTTGTATTATCAACATTTGGTACAAGAATTCCAGTATATTCAGGTGTTTGATCATGTGGATATACATACAATGGTACCTTACTCTCCCAATGAGCCCAGTCACCTTGTTCGTTAACCATATATTCAAATATTGTATCATCTACCCCACATTTTGGCAGTGGTAATTTTCCGTTTCCCATTAAAAATTGTTGTAATTTTAAACGATCAGTTAATTCTAATAAAGCGCCTAATGACCACATTGCTGCAAATGTAATTAATCTTTCCATATGAAGTTGTTTAATTTCTTTCTCATCTAATCCTTGAAGTAAGCCTTCAAGTAGATTAATTGCTTGCCGAATGTAATTACATTGTAAAATCTATTAAATAAACGTAAAAAAAAACAAACTTTTACATGTAAATGTAATAACTAATGACAAAATGATTCACATTATCAATGAACGTCAAAAATAAAATTAACACATTTTTTCAACACTTTAGTTAATTTCAGAAAGGGTTTTGTGAAGATTTTAGTCATTTCAATAGTTGAAATCATGAGTCAATTGAATTGGATTGGTTGAATTTAGACATTGACACCGTCGAATTCCGGCTCAGTGGTCTAATGGTTGAGCGCTAGCGCGGGAGACTGACAGGTGATGGGTTGGAATCTTGCTAGGCGGCATCGTGGATGCTCACTTTAGTTAATTATTAATGAAACTTCAAGTAAACCATTCAATCTCCAATCTAAGTGTAATTGAATAATAATGTTCATTTCTCTGAACTCCCAGTTAACATTTCCTATTGTTTTTAATCTGTCATATGATACAAGCTAGTTTCAACGTGACAAGGATTAGTGATTTGCTGATGACATACTTTTTACTGCTGTCTAGTCAGAATTATTCAATTATGCTTTAATCTTATTCAAAATCTTGATAATACGTTCACTGTTTGTTGTACATTTGTGACAGCGATCTATTGAGCTAAAATAAATCTTTTTAAATAATTAATGGGACTGATGATCAAGTGGGTTTCCATAATCTAGGATACACAATAAGATTTAGATAAGGATTTCTGAAAAGTACGAAATCATACCTTTTTTTAATGTAGAATAGATTTACAGTTATCGATATGTGTCAACATAACAATACTAAAAGATCAATGAAAAGTACTTTTAGAAAAGAATATCTATCCCTTTATGAAAGTCGCCGTTCAAAATATACTTATGTTGACTGATACTAATGCGAAACACTACTGTTTGAAATCTAACATTATTTTAAATAAAAATATAATATATTAATTATTTTATACTTACTTCCATTTTTGGTTCCAAATTCTGAGTAACATAACGATAAGCATCTTCGAAGAATCCTTTGAAACTATTAAATATTAATTCAGTTACATTTGGTGAACGAGTTCGAAGCCATCCTATTAAGTAAGCAAAAAGAAGAAACTTCACGAAGAAGATACTTTGTTATAATCTTGAACTCTACAGAATGCTGTAAACTCATTTCAAAATTAAAATGACACGAAATGAGTTTGTATATAATACATTTAATTTTAGCACAAAATCATAGAGTTGTAGCAAACTTATTGCTTCATAAATTTCTTAAAATTCTGTCAGTTGAGTTGATGAATATATTTCTTTCTTTTTAAGAAAGATACTTTATACTTGCTTGCTTTAGTCCCAAGATAGTCGACTTATAATTTGCACTAAAGTATTCAGTTCATTAAAACACTAGTTTACGTTGAATAGAGGTACTAGCCTGATTTCATTTTGTGTGGAGTTTGTTAAACATTACTGAAAAATGCTAAATTCGCAAACAACAGTCGTTTAGTTGCGTTCAGTGTTCAAAGAATTTTCATCTAGTCTCAATCTGTGGTAAATAATAAACTCAAAACTATGAGTAAGGTTCACCAGTATTCTATCTCGATATGCAGAAGGAAACTCACCTTATTGGGAATTAGTATATCCGATTGCATTTCCTTCTTATCTGATTACTCTTTGTGCATCAGTTTATACTTACTTACTTATCCCTACTAACCCTATTTTGATATTTTCCTCCAATTCCCTGAGCAATGGGTTCATCGGCCTGCCTCTCTTCAATATTCCATCAAGATTCCGAGTTGGCGCTTGCGTCGTGATGCAATTTGTTGAGTTCCTTAATATATGTTGTAATTCCTTTTGAGTGCATAACAATTTATGTTCATTATTGAGTTAGATTTTTAAGTATTTGCATAAACTCATGACACTTCATTTCCTTAATTGTACAACTGCTTCTCTTCAACATTTGTAACACCTGTTTCCAATTTGGGTGTACTCAGTGAATAATTTTTTTATTGCAAATGTTTCCGTGTTTTAATGTTCAATGTTCTTATTTTGATATATATATAATCCATCAGCTAATTTAATTTGAAATGATTTGAGTTATTCCGTTGTTCATACTTCTGACAGAAATTTGATCAGTCCTGGTTGGAATATGGGCCGAAGATCTCAATAACAGGATAACCTGAATCACTTCAAATTAATATAAATCTTATACCAATTGCAACAGGGAGTGGAAACTGAACTCATTAGCTAAGTAGATGACACGCTGGTGTTTAAACCAAACAATAATGAGTTTCTGTCCCAGATTGAAAGTCCATTCTGGGATACATGCATATCTAACTAACGAGTCCAAAATAGGAAGAAGAAGCGCGTTCTGGATTACGCTGTTAGCCGCATTCCCTTTATCCTATATGAAAATTTAGTTTGAATTTACAGAAGTGAATATTCACAATATACAAATAATCATTAGTGAAAACTAGTACAAATGTATATAAGCCCAACAAAATAAACTTTGAACTAGTTTAGGTTTAAAAAATGGGATTCGACTCACAGGAAACTCATTTAGTTTAAGACTTTCCAAAAACATTTTGATTAAATTTCCAAGGTTCTTGTTCTCTTTACTTATTCAGATTTATAAACTACTTCACTTGTAATATTTATTAAATAAAAGTTCACTCATTTCAGTGACACTTTTATAATCTTACCTTTTAGTATAGGTTCCCATGTCATTATAGAACTTGACATAAAAATCATTCCATTTCTTGATACTGTAGCCGGTGATGCATTATCTATATTATGTACTTCAAACAAAATTTTTGCTGTTGGTGCCATCGGTATTCGATCACCATTAGCTAATGTTAATGTTTTATTATCATCTAATACAGAATTTAAATTTTCAATCCAAATAGCATCTACTGGTCCATCTAATATCAACCAGATATGTTCACCTTTTTTAACTTTATGTGTACGTCTCCATAAAGTGGAAAAAATACCATCAGTCCAATCATTTGTAGCTACATCTAATCTACCAAACATTTGTGGTGCTGTAATAGCCTTTGGATTCATACGCATTTCTCTATGTGGATCACCGATTTCAGTCATTGCTTTCATTAAAGAATTGATACACTTAGTTTTACCAGCACCTGATGGTCCAAGTGTCATAACACCATGTCTAACCCGTAATGTTTCATAAAGTTGTATACATTTTAATACCCAAGGTGGATGATAAATAAGACCAAGTTGATCAATCTGAAAATTATTAAGTAGAATGTATAGAGAAACACTGTTATGAATATTTGTTAAAATATGAACAAAAAGTGTGGCAGAAATTCTGAGCCAAATATATATGATAGCTCAGATCTAAAACATTTCTCCCATATAATCTCAATAAAGTTCCATAAATCCAAACAGTTCTCTCGATGAACGAGTCCGAGCATCTTTACGGGAATAATAAAAACCAAATAATGTCTAGAATAAATACTTACTCAACACTTCTTTAATTATGTTCAAATGTTAAATTTCTGTATAGTAAGAATGTATAAGAATCAGTATGTTGCTGCTATTCGAATTTAATATACTTATGAAGCGCATGGCTTCGTTTGTAGACACATTAGTTGTCCCGTTTATTATAAATTCCAAAATCTATTTGAATCGATAAGTCTCCGAAATCTGTATTGAATGCACAGATTTGAATTCTGCATTGTGACGTTAACTAAATACAAACATAATGAATAACTACTGATCTTTGACAGTTTTGATTTTGTCAGTTTATAGTTTTTTATGGTTGTAGAATGTTCATAAATCGCTCACTGATTTCGGCCCCAAAATGCCTTGGTACGGCCGACAGTGGGGAGAGTCCACTCTCTATCTCGAAGTGCCCTCACATGGCCACGCGTATACAGACACTGCCACAAAAGTCCTACTCACTGCCTTCTCACAGCGAGAGTGTTGTTTATGAAATTTGGAGGACGTAGAGCGAATGTCCGACGCTTTAACCGGGTTGGTGGATACGGAGGGTCAACCTAAGGAAGTTGGAAAACTCTGATTCAAATCTATTGATGCACATGGGATCCAGGATCCTGAGGGAACAAATAGCGTATGAACCTATTGTTGATCACCTACCATGAGACTGCATCTCCTAACATCGCTTCACTGTTTTGTGAATTAGACTTGTATGTCAAAGGCGAGGGAGTTTCCCCCTAAGAAAACCACCTGCTTCGGTTTGGGCGCTTGATCAGTATCCCAGCCCTTAGACAAATGGAATGTTTTTCGTGGCGCATATATATTTGGTGCTTCCGTGAACCAATGTTTATGTGTTCACATAAATGAACAAACTGATCTTAGCTAGACCAGGATCGAAAACCAGAAGGTACTGTACAATAGATCCGTTCTAGTACGAGATTCGGTAGCGTGTATTCGCGACAGGAATCGTGGTCCAGATAGCCGAGCACAACATCAAAATGACTGAAATCTAAATCGGTGAGGTGAATTAGGATGGAAATTTGTGCTTTCAAGGAAACAGAGTATTCAAGTCTAATCTGTTTAATGTGCATTATAAGCAATAAAACCATTGCTTTCTCAAGGGACTTTTATAAATTCATGACCAGATCAGTTTGTTCAAAGCATACGTCTGAAATTATAAACAGTCTGAAACTTAACTCCTAGGTTTAGAGATATTTTTTTAGAATATGTTTTCCTTCATGTATACTGACCTATTTTATCGTTAACCTAGTGGACATTACACTTATCATTTCAGCTTCGTAATGAGTAATCGACATGTCGCCTACTTTATAAGTTTGCCTTTCCGTTTTGTTGAATGAAGTTCCCAAGATCTTTGCCTTCATCATTTAATTACTATTAAGTGACAGAAGGACCAGCAGTGTTACAGTACATTAACTACCGCGTAGACATTTTATTCATTCACTCGTGATTAAACTGTTCGACGCAATGTAAAATCTAAGCAGTAAGCTGACTTTCTAACATATGGTTCATATGTTCTAATGCAAACCTATAAATGATTTTTAAAATTTCGCTAGATATTTTAATGCTGCCGCGATTAAAATGCCAGATTAAACTAGTTTATTATTATTATTGCCGCACAAAATATTTATGTGACTCTTTACATACTTAAAGTTATCATGTAGAGAATATCTCAGTGGTCATCGGGAAACAGTAGCCACACACACTTCGCTAATTAAAAGATTTGGGTGGTGAAAGGAAGGAGTTACGAACTCATGTTCAATTATACGATTCATACAATAAGTTATGTTCCCGAGTGTTAGATGAATCCATGTTTTATACAATCAACAATCTAGCCTTATATCATATAGGCTGTCAAGTATACTGTATCTTGATAAAAGGATTTAAAGAAGTTTGCGGATTGATTTTACGATTAATTTAAAACAATTAATCCCTTTGATAAATTCCAATAATGGAATGAGAGGACGAAAGGTTATCAGGATTGTGTGATATATTTGCGTAATATATTTCGAGCGATCTGATCACAAATATACTTTACGAATAATATCTATTACTTAAAAGACACTGGAATCAATGAAGTTCCTTAGTTTTGAGTCCTTGTATGTCTAGATCAAATGCATATAGAAAAGCATAAAAAAACCTAGATAGACAGTGAGGATCTGGGGCTTCTTACTGGCTTTCAAATGATGTATGAGTACGTTATATCACTGGGTCATGAAATACGTTTTGAAACTTTATCATTATGTTCATCCTATCAAAGTTTTTTATGAGAATTCAAACAGTGGGACGTAAAAGTAATAGATTCTGTCGTACGGGAATAACTAAAAATTGGAAACTTGAAAGGGACATTTTTTAAAATGAAAAATATCACTTTTATGCACTGTTATTACCTTTTGTTAGCTGATGTAGCAGAACAAAGATTGGGGAAATCGTAATTCATGGAACCATTTTATAGATTAGTATTACACATTTGACTAATTAATCTGATTATTGTGTTTATATATTCTGCGTATCGTAAATTTTCGTTTAATACATTAACTATCACTATACCACTTATTATTTCTATTTCATTTCCAATCTATTATTCACAAGTGCTTTAGGCTTGTCGATGCACAATTGTGATTTCTCATTTTAAGGCGTGATGTGGTTCGGTTTATTTACATAGGGACACATGTGTGCTTGAAATATGTATCGTAGAAGCTGGCCGCTAACTTGTCACATGACTCTAGGCAAAAGCTAGAAAAAGTTTGCCAATGGTGAACTTATAAGAATTTAGCTTGTGTCAGATTAAGGTTAACTGTGCAGGGCAGGCACATAACTGGTCAAGTGTAGGATGCTAGAAGTCGACATTATTGATTGATCACTTTTAAAAGTATTACAGTTCTATCTCAAATTATTGTAAAGACTATTTATATTCAATAAGAAATTTAACTTACTTGTTTTTCTAAAGAAGCTTCAACTTCTGGATAGCCTTTCTTATCCAACTGCATTCCAGGAAATAAATCCATAATTAATGACATAAATAATGGTTCATCTTCATCTACTAATTTACTTAAATTCATATCACGTAATACACGCATAACTATCATTGTTTCCGAATCTTGTGGATTAGCACGTTTAAATGCACCGAGTGTACGTAGAACTGATAAAATATTTCTTAAACCGAAATCATAATGAACCTATCAAATAGCAAAAAATTAGTCCGACAAATAAATAAATCAATAGTTCAAGTGTTAAAGATTTCGTCAATTCTGATCGTCTATCGGCACCATAATCTTAACTCAAAATTATTCCTGGAGTCAGAAAAACTGGCTACAAGCGCAGTTGGATGAGATATTTATAGATTCAGTTTCATACTTTACCATAGTCTTAACACAACCTTTTAGTTTTTGTTCGACATGTATTCGTCTCTTCCACTATCTTTTTTATATCTGCCTGTGGATAGTTACATTTCATATCACATTTTGCGAATGTCATTTCATTTGAACACTGGATACAAACTGGCGACATTAACGTAATATATCTGTGCAATTGTACGCATATATTACATTATAAGATTATATGATTTATTCGATATTGTAAAGAAAATGAGAATTGTGTATTAAATACGGGTGAAATTAATGACACTTTACAGGTAAATATTATATTTTATTCTAGAGTATACATGATGAAATTATATTTAATTATTATTGTACAGTTTAAGAAAATGCTATCCTCCGGTAAAACCATTTTTTAAAATTTCAATGGTTAAGATCATGGGTCAGTTGAAGCTAGACCACCATGGAAAACCTGGAAGAACTGAACGGCCGTCTCGTCCTATTGTGGGACCCCTCAGCAGTGCGCATCCACGACCTCGCTCCCTGCGAGGTTCGAACCCAGGACCTACTGGTTTCGTGCGCGAGCACTTAACCACTAGACCACTGAGCCGGCATCCAAGCTTCAACCGACTCATGATCCTAACCACTGGAATTACTATAATATCCACAAAACCCATCTGATATTAGTCTTTTAATTGTTTATTTGTTACTGTGCTTATGTTATAGGTAAAAACATGTCTATTGTAACTCTTCTAAGAAAAGTAATTTTCATTTGTTGCTGATTAGGTTAATTTGTTTTTAGGCAAACTAGTAACTACGATCACTATAAACTCGTGTTTATTGAGAGTGAACTTCCCAATTTCGTCAGATTCATTGGCATGTACGGTGAATCCACCACTGATGTCCTATATTACGCGATCTTGGCATCATAGGTATTTCATCTGTGAAACAATTGACAAATGAGCAGCTTTAAATGTCTTTATTTTTATCTTATTTATACTTCCGTTTGTTCATATTCCAATTAATTATTAGTGAGATAATCTAAAAACAACTACACGTAACTGGAAAAAAACAAGTCCGGCGTCCGCAAGATTGATGATAATAAAAACTGTTTCTTAAGTGTTTATTTCCCAGTATCATTTCTTCTTATATTCTTTATTTGAGTATAATTATGATTATCAGTACTTCATTCACAGCCTAATAATATTCATGAATATGTCTGTAAATACCTAAAGCTTCTTTTAATCATACAACAATATATCCCTCAAAATTAGTTGATGATGGTTATGAAAATTGTATTTGGAATATTCGCTTATACAAGCACATTTAAATGTTGCTTTTGAGTAGAGTAAGACTATGAAACTTGATCGACCAAATGGACTCTTTGGACATGTAAACAATGTCTATACCTCCAATTCATTTTAATTGGCATTGCAACACAATTCCTTGTTACTCACTATCTGTGCATGGGTTCGAGTTGATTAATTTCGTCACTCGTACTTTTATTTTGATAATAAACAAAACGATTATTATGTCTTGATCCAATTTGTTCGCTAAATTCTTAATTATAGTAATACGTTGGTATACAAGTTTTACATTTCGAATACTGTTGGCATTTCACATCAAATAACCTTAATTCTCGCTCTACATAGAACTATTTCTTGAACATGTTTGGACAACAGTTCAGCATTAACATGTTTTAAGTGTTATACATTGTTGGTAATCAACATTCTCATTATTAAACAGTTAGTCCACTGACACATGAGCAAAATACCATGGGTTCAAGCTGGCCACTTCGAGAACTGACTTTTCCAAATAAACAGAGACAACTGTTTATGAGCCAACGATTAAAATCATCCAATGAAGATAAGGCATTACCCATGGAACTTAACCAATCAAATTGCAAAAAAAGCTGGGTAGGTTTACTGAAACAATGGCAACGTTAGTGGCTTGGGTCACATTGTCAGATCGAACCAATCACATGAGCAATTTTCGAAATAATAAAAGTGGATAGATTATATTCTCCCTTCACCTCACCTCACACGAAACTTGTCAGCCCCACTAGCGTCTCGTAGTCAGTAGTGCTTATCGACGTGTGATTGGCCAAGCCAGAGACAATAAGCTATAGAGTAAATAACATCCAAATGAGGATTGGGAATTTGATTGGTGTCTGGACAGGTGGTAATGGTAAGCGGCTATTTTTAATGGGTATAACTAAATTCTCAGATATTAGCGACCAAGTATTGGCATATATTTTCGCTTCGTCGTAGCTACAATAGAGCATTGATTTCTAAATCTTATTCTTCATACGTAAGTATTTACATCTTCAGATAGACTTTATGAAGAAGTACTTTTTAAAAGGTCGAAATGATTTCGTAAATTGTATAATAAACACCGAATATTTCATAAATATCACATAATGTACGTTTTAGAAATTACCTCTATCTAAACCAGCAACTTACTTGTTTCGATAATTGTTCTTCACATAGTTTGTAAAGTGTATAGAATTTCTTAGATAAATCAACATTGTTCAAAAATCCACAAGCAGCTAATTTAACACGCATAATAATTGCTCGATCTGGTACCATCATAGCAACTGTACGAAAATTGATCTTTAAATTTTCCGGTAATTCTTGTCGACCAGCATAACCAGGATTCTAGATGGTAATGAATAAGCAGTGAAGAAATGAACCAAATCTGTTCAGATTTGTGACAGTTTTCTATTTCTTGTTAGGTCGGTAATAAATTCAATAATTATGTATACATAATGTGGATTCAAACTGTGAAGAGACTATTAAACTTGATGATAAGTGACGACTGACATAAAACCATGGTTCAGGTCTTCTCGCCAATTATCTTTAACGGCATGAAAATCATCTTTTCGTTGGAATGATTGTTCAAAGATCAACCAAGGATTTGATAAAGGTTGTGTTACTTTTTACACTGAATCGATTAGTAACTTCACCTCACTTTACAAAAATTCTGTAGGTAAAGTCATACGTAAGTGGTTACTCGTTGACATTTCAGCTGTAGTTATTTCAAGTGGGCAGTGATATTGTAGCGAACGAATACTTGGTGAAGAAAACCAATGTATTGTCTGGTGTAATTAAAGAGTTCTTGCATAAAATGTAAAAACCATACATTAAATACTTTGCAAATTTTCCTTTACACCCTTCAAGATCCTTTCAATTCTCAATTCCTTTTGTTCTATTTTTTTTATTCCTTCATTTCAATCTTTTTAACTTTTTTTGACAGGCATTCCACTTCTGACTGGTGTTACATACTACTTAGGTCAACAGACATACGTAGCATGTACCACAGTATTACTTGAGTTTCTTAGTGAAAAAATTTTTGTTGAAGTATAAAACCATAGGATATTATATACCACTGACTGAATATTATTGTTGATACCTAACAATAATCATGGTGAAATAAATCATCCAGAATTTATTTATTCTTCACACAAATAAATATTGTTAATGATTCTTCATATACCATTTGGTTAAACAGCATTTTGTATAAAATATTTTATAGCAGGCAGATGACTGATAACTCCGCCTGTAGCTCTTCTAGAGTTACTGCCGGTCCCAAGCCCGGGTAAAGGAGGAGGGTTGGGCATGGGGTTAGCGTCCCCATCCCGTAGAAAACTAACTCGCTAAAAAAACACTTACCAGAAAAAATAATTCAAACCATTTTAACTCTGCCCTGAGAGTTAGAAGGTCTTCATTCATCATTCATTTAGATGACTGATACATTTTCTAATTTAACATATGTAAGTTTCTGTTTACATGACACTCAATCGAATAATGAGAAGTAATATGGGGCATAACATTTCATAAACAGTTTGAGATAGACCCATATGAACTATTAAAGGTGCTTTAAAATGCAAATACATCCATAAAAGTGAAAAGGCCAGTTTCAGTTAACAAAATGTAATGGCATGAATTTTATCATCGGGACGTCTCTCAATTAATACAATCCTACAGCACGATATGATATGATTAGTACAAACATATTTGAGCATACTGAGTTTGTGACACCGATCAAAGTGGGCAAATAATTTAAATATTATCTAACCAGTCATTAAATAGCTAGGTTTATTAAATCAAGAGGTGATCGGCTTGCAATACGAAGATGAATATCCCAGATACAATTCTAATTAGAACATATTTTCAGATATTTCTGATATTGTTTCCAAATCCCGTAATTTATTTAGTCGGAAAACATCAAGTCTAACTACTTCTGATTGCTTTTTGTCTATTCTCTTAGATAGAATAATAATATTTAAAGTTATCCAAGAATAATAGGTTGGAATAAAAATTACATATATATTGTAATTCCCTCCCTACTCAAAATAGGTAACTTGAAATGTTTATGTGTGATTGTTGTCCGTTTATATACAAGAGACTAAAGTATTAAAATGTACGACTGGATACGATTTTGTTTAAATGCTACTAATGTGAATGAATTCTGACATCTGACATCATTGGCTATACACCGTTATATATTTCTGCATTCAATCACTTAGAAAATGGTATTATACTTATTGGCTAAGAGTTTTATTGGTTTGGAAACTTGAAATAAATGACCATCTGTCATTCTCGAAGTGATATTGGTTAATGAACGAGTTATATTCGTTGTCCTTCTAATCAATGACCGAGGTCAAATTAATTAGGTAAGAATTAGAATACAAACGTTCTTAAATATAGAATTCAGTAATTTAATTCATTAGCAAATACAATAGCAATAAAAACAATTAAAATATAATTGGATCGAATGGACACAACTGGACTGGAATAATAGTAGTACTAGATTAGCACTAGAATCACACCTTTTTGTAATTGAATTTAATGTTTATTGTCATTGATACTTAGAAACATCAGAGATTGGATTGGAATATAAATAACATTGGCAATAAAATATCCAGCTACTGTGTCGTAGTGTAACCAATTTAACACTTTATTAGACTGGCCTGATCTGGGTTGTATTGAAATGAACTCAAATTGTCCTACAGTTTCAATTAGTCAGCATTTCTAAAGTATAGATCAGTAAAATAATTAATCACATAACTAAGTACAAGTTAACCAATACAACTGAACTAATGCGTCAAACAGTCATATGCTGAGTTAGATACCGTATTTCAACGTGAATATACAATTATACTCATTTGAGACGTTTGTATTGAATCCCATAGAATGCTATCAAACTTAATTTTAAGTAAGAAAATTAATGTCACGACATGTAGTTGTCAGTTAAATTTGTAATACGATCCATAGCTAAGTTTACAGCAATGGATAATCAAGCCACAAAGACCAATATTACAGTTAATGAATATATGAAGTTAAACGTGTTTCAAATAAAAATTTAAATACTACAGCCTTTATTTTAAACAACAGAGATTTCAACTAACCATAGTCAAAAATATGCCGAATTCGGGGTCCATATCAACTGTATCACCATCAGTGAATATAAATTGTGGTTTTCTTTCTTTTTTACATGTTAGTACAATAGCAATTTGTTGCGCTGCCACAGACAGTACAGGTAATTCGATTCGATTGAATTCATCAAAACAACCCCACGAACCAGATTGTGCTAATCCTTTATAAATTCGACCCAAACCACGGTAATCCATTTGATCGGAACAATTGAATACAACTACATATTTACCAAGGCAGCGACCCATATCTTTGGTTGTTTCTGTTTTCCCAGTACCTGCCGGTCCAGCTGGTGCACCACCAAGTGACATACCAAGTGCTTGAGCTAAAGTAATGTAACACCTATACAAAAAAGAAATTGCAGATATTGAATTACAATAAAATGAATATCAAACAAAATTTGACAGTTTTTATGATCCATCGGGCGAGATAAACTACAATCACACTGAAGATCATTTGAGATTTAAATGATTAACTGGTAATGTCTTAGGATTTGTATCTAGCTGGCGTAGGTTCAAACTCAAGAGGCAGCATCCGTTCGCTGGTGATTACAGGTATGGCTTTCCGAGGAGTGTCAATCAGTATGGGATCCAGATTTAGGGTTTTTTATCAACTGCTCCTGAGCACCTAAAATCCTTAAAATAGTGTAAAAATCAGGGATTTAAAAACCATGATCCCATTTAGATCAAAAAGACAATCCTACACTATGATGTAGAAATGCACAAAACAGGATATTAAAGAACAATAAGTATTGTTAAGTTCAACGTTGAAGGTTGAGGTCTATGAAAATGTGTCATGGAAATTAAAAGTAGGAGTACGTAAGAGAGTTGTAATTGATTCAGTAAGTCAGCACACACACACATAGCATTTGTAAAGAACACATTCATTGACTTTGATCGTTATAACCGTAAAACACTGTCAGACTGTAAAATCCTGTAGAAAAAGAAGAAACCAGATAAGATTTCCACCAAGTCAACTAATTTTCACTGTCTGTCATTTAATGTACATCAGCAATTATTAGTGATGTTAATTATCATTAAGTCTTCTAATGATAGGTATTCATTTGTTCAAAATAGATATTGAAATGAACTCCATATTTTAGAGTAAGGCGTCTATTCTTCACATGTCATATACTCCCTAAAATTCATACCTAAGATAGATAAATATAAAACCTTTTCGACTATTCAATTTTAGCCAGATAAAACTTCACATGTACTACTATATATCAATGTCCGTTTTCAACAAGAGTTTCAAAAATGCCATCAGCGGGACTAATTTGTGGACGACACTTGATAGGCTGTGAAGTGACCTTGAGGATATTCACCTACTCACTAGGGTTAAAAGGTTATAAACTAGTGTAAAGAATTAGGATTTAGCGTTGAACGTTAGGGTTAAGAATTTGAGTTAGAGTTTTTATTATGAACTGACTTCCGCCATAATGTCGAATGATATTTAACCATATGCATGAATAGATTTCGCACCAACATCCAAGGCTTCTGGCTTCAATAAACAATATCCCGTTAACTGAGTATTTAAGGCAGGCTAAATCTCCTAGCAGAAATACGGATTTACTCGAAATTATTCAGAAGTCTGAACACCAGTTGTAGAGATAATTTATTGTTAGTGATTAATAAAAATCTGCAAGCGTACAGCAACCAAGCACACAGTGAAGCCAAGTAAAAATGATGCGCAGCGGACATGGCTGGTAAGCCAACTCCTTTTTTGCCAAGCGTTAATCAATATTTATAGGCAGACAAAATAAACTACAGACATATGGTGAGTCATGGACTATGAAATGTACACACATATACGCTCATATAAAAACAGTCAAGACTGATAAGCGAATAATTGACAAGGTCAAAATATGACTCAAGTAGAATGAATAGAATGGGATGACTGACATTACAGGCTCACTATCCTAAATACGATTGGGTCGTCGATAAATTGTAGTTCCACCGTCACTTTAGTTAATGCTATTATATACCAGAAAAGTATCAAAAAATATTTTAAATTCATCCTTTTCATTCGAGATCTAACCTATTCATCATACCTGTCAGTTAATGGGGTAATAACCAATCGATCTGTACAACCTAGAAATTCATTTTGATAAATAAAATCTACATCAGTAATGCTAACGATGCATTGATCATTTTCTTCATTAAAATAAAATCTTGACTGTTTTAACCATTCAAAATCTTTAGGGGATTTGACACGCATTGTAACCTAGGATAGAGGAGAAACAAGTATAGTTTAAATGCATTATTAAGGAAGTTCGTTATTGTTCAAAATCTGAGTACAGTTAATTTATCTGGTTAGAAAAATCTTATGCCAATAGACTTTGATTTGATTTTGAAAGTTGCCTATTTTCACCAAGGTGAAAAAGTCAAATACTTCGAGGATTGATAAAAAAGTGCTCAGTAAACTCAATATCTGTTTGTAGATGCTATCAGAACTCATTCTACAGATCTAGGAAAAGTGAGCTGAGTAAAACCAATTTAGATATGTTTAAATACGTGAAGAGATTATGTGATTTTTAAAAAGTCGCCTGGTATATAAACTTTTACTCTATATGAGTTCCGGATTTTCACTTGTTGAAATGTTCTACGGAAACGCTGAAGTAATTATTTTGGTAAAGATAAATATATTCATGCATTTCCATAAGTTTTTTCTTTATAATTAAATCATTTTACCGATGCAAAATCAGCAGACTTGTACTTTCATTGTAGCTGGTTTATTGTAACAGTTAACCTACCAACAGTATTAAAATAAATATGTGGACAGACCAGTCTACGTAACGGCACAGCTATGAACTGTCTCACGAGAATTCCTAGATCTCTGCTATAATATCATCGATAAAGATTGTGAACCATTTTATCGTTTAAATTACAACACACAAAACAAACCACTCGTATACTATCTAAATATTCTTTTTCATTCATTATTAATTCAACAATAGTTTCTAAGAGCGGTGGATTTTATGTCATCATTTGTAGGTACACGCATTCTGTAATCAAATGCAATAAATTCATGAAACCTGAAGAATCAGTAACATAAGTTAAGTTGAACTAAGACTAATGATATTCAGGACAGAAAAATATTTGGTGGCTAAAAGAGATCAGCTCAAAGAGACATTTGTAATGTAAATATATAAAGTAGATAACTTACGAGATCATTGAAAATATCTCTTTGATGTACATGTATTGTAATTAATGTTTCATATTTTGTTCGATCAATTTTAGATAATTCTTGTGTTGTAACACCAATAAGTTCATTTAATATTTCTAAAAAGAAATAATTTGTTGTATTCATAATTTTTCGATCATTTTTGGCTTGTCTTAATGCTTCTTGTGCATCTCTTGTCCATAACATTTGTATACCAAGTAGACCAACTTGTGCTGGATATGAATTTTCAAATTCTAATAAGTTAAATTGTTGATCATTTATCGCAAAATATGCTGATCTAATAACTGAATGAAGTGAATTTCTTGATGTTTGTAATAATTCACCAAGCCATACTTCAACATTACCCTCAAAGAGAAAAATCAATTAATTAGAATTATAACTAGGAAATTATAACATAAGAATTGATTTCATTTATTTTATTAATATTGGAACTATCCCGTTTTTGATTAATTCACTGTAATCAGTATTAGTCGACGGGATAAACCAAACAATTATAAATTATCCCACTAACTTATTCAAAAATGTTTTAGTGAACGATTGTTTTCCGCAACTTCGTCATCAGGCTCTTCACTTATAAGTCCATTATTATTAAGTTATTGTACAAAAGCCAAAATAAAGCATGGTTAGGAAAATGAGTCATAAAACCTATTAACAATGACATCTTTTCTCATTTGGTAGATAGTGAACATTTTATTAAAATGGATGAAGCATACTCTGTTTTGTATTACGTTTCAAACAATCTGTCTAAAGGAGCTAGATTATGGCTTCTCTACATAGCTGGAGTTATCTGAATCAACTTCAGAAAACCTAACTTGTGTAGCCAAAAGAAGTATGTTCAGTCACTGTGTTTACCTTATTCCTAAATTGGATCACCAGACACCTGAACTAGATATTACAAATCTCTTATTCCATCAATTCCTTTTATGTTTATACCTTTGTTAATTTACACATTTGTCTTTCTCAATTCACATGAATTTCTTACAATAATTACCTTGACAGCACCTCTCTTGTTGCATATTATGTTCACTCAATGTTTTTATTATTACCTCGATTAACAAGACAAAGTTCTTTTACTATGCACTTTATTGACATGATTTATTACTACTACATGGTGGTCTAACAT